AAACGGACGTCCGCCTCGAGACCGGACGATTATGTACCGTTAAACAACAACGAAACAGAAGAGTAAAACCAAAACTGAATGAAAAATGGTAAACAGATGGTTTCTGCTCCGTTGTCAGTGTACAGCGTGAACAAAATCTGCGAGAGCACAAAAGTAAGTTAATGATATCAGTAATCTGCTGATGAGTGATCCACGTGATGTTGTTGTTGTTGCTGTTGTTGTTGCTGCTTTTTTTTGTGGTTGTTCTTTTTCTTTTGCGTTGCTTTGTCGGATCACCAGTTACAACAATGATAGTCAAATCAAAGAGAAAATGAAAGAAAGAAAAAAAACGGTAACACGGTGTGACAGACGACGTAGATAGCATTAAACGAAGAGCAAATCCACGTGGAATCGCGCGCACACGAAAACGAGCGTACAGATAATAAAAGGTGTGCGTGAAAGAGTGACAGACAGAGATAGACAGCGAGACAGAGCGAGAGATAGAGAGATAGAGAGAGAGAAAAAAGGCAGAGTAGCCGTGTTATATCAGATAGTCAGTGAACAGATATGACAAAGTAAAAAAATATGGTATACTTGTAAGAAAGAAAATAAAACGGAGAGACGAAATGCGAAGCTCGCGACGCTTGCCCGGTTCTGCGCAGACGCGACATTTGGTTGTGGCATTTGGGGCACGATTCACGTTGGATGTTCATTGATATCTTAAACTGATATTCAAGTGATTATAATATTCGTAGCTTGAAAGAGAATAGATCGAACCGCAGTCTTTCGTTTTACCATTTCTCTTGAGTCGTCTGCATTGAAGTTAGCTAACCGATGCATGAAATATCCAATTTCCTAAACGAACGAACTCTATCGTTCACCGAACAGTTAATGATCCTATTTATATCGAACGTGCGACACGTCATTTAAACAATACCGAGACACAAAGAAAATGAGAAAGTAAGAAGAGTTATTCGTGATTCGAGCGTTGAACTTTTTCTCTGAATCGAATTCTAATCAATTTATCCTACGGATGCGCAGACTTCACAGTTCGACTGTAAGAAAGAAAAAATCGGGTAACTAACAATCAGAATATAACGTGTATGTCTGTGTGCCTCTTGGAACTATTTAGCTGCCGAAAGTGTCTCGTTCGAAGAGCTTCTGGATTGAAAGGAACGATCAACTCTTAAGTATGGACGTGCGGTGTCACGGACCTCTATATAAAATATCGAAAATTCTGAAACTAGCGAAATTTTCGTTATACGATTGACAATATTTAAATAAGCAAAAGAAAATCAATACAATAAACTGTTTCATTAGTCGCAAAAAACCAGAATATTTAACATTAATCGCTCGGCACTTTGTATATACTCATCTCTACCATAGCCAGTAATTCAACTGATTACAAGATAAAGGCAAACAAGTTGTACGATATGTTTTTTCTTCGCGTAAACAGTAAAGACAATGAAAACCCGATTAATTGAACAATATAATCGATATGAAGTCAATTAAACGTTAAGAGAGCGCAGAATTTTCAATGAAATTTGAAAACCGTGCGGTACGTTTACCGTCAAAGGTTGAATTCACGTCTATACTTAAGGTTAAAATAAGACTCGCGGCGTCACCGTGGCAACACGAATGTACCATCGCCGTTTATAAACGACCAGCAATGTTAACTGTTGCGTAACGTCGGCGATCCGAGCGGTTTGCCAAAACGCAGCCGAGGATACGCGTGCCCTCCCTCCATTTCGATCGAACGTGAATCGCGACCGACCGGGCAAGCGCGTTCCGTTGCTCAAGTGCAACAACATTGAGCATCGTTGTTAAACTTGTGTGTATATATAAGTGTGTGTGTGTGTGTACATGTGTGTACATGTGATTCGTGTGTATTGATCTGTTCGTGTGTGTGTGTGTGTGTATCGTGAATGCCTCGTTATTCGCACGTCTCGTTACGTTTCTCGCAACCGTTCGTTCTCAAGTACCTCGAAGTCCTTCTTCTTAACAACATATTCGAGGTCGAATTTTTGATCCTCCAATGCTGTGATCCTATTGTGGTACTCGCGCAGCACGCGCTTCACGGTATCTGTGCGGATCAAGGTGAAAAAGATCGGACAGAATTCATCATTTTCGCATTCAGGCACGACGGGGGAAGAACCGATCGTTCTCTTTGATCGCCCCGAGGGGCGAGCCTCGTCGCGCGTTTTATAACACGGCCAACAGTTCAGAATATACAGGGTGCGCTGGTCATCGCGATGCTACTGAGAAATCGTTGTGCTTCTGTCGCAGAAACGAATTTGAAATTGATCTATAGTCTGGAATCTGTTCGAAATCTATGTGAAATCTAATTGAAATCTATCTGAATCTATCGAAAATCTGTTTAAAATTTATCTACAATCTACCTGAAATCTGTTTAAGATTTATTTAGGATCTACCTGGAATTTGTTTAAGATTTGTTTAGAATCTATCCGGAATTTGCTTAGAATTTGTTTGAAATCTCTCTGGAATCTGTTTAAAATTTATCTACAATCTACCTGAAATCTGTTTAAGATTTATTTAGGATCTACCTGGAATTTGTTTAAGATTTACTTAGAATCTATCCGAAATTTGTTTAAAATTTGTTTGAAATCTGTTTCAAATTTATTTAGAATCTATGTCAATTCTATTAAAAATCTTCTCTACTTATTTCGAGAAACTGATAACGTGTTTTCTAATAAACGACGATTTATAGATGGAAAATGGTACTGTACATTTCAATTTTGATTCTGAACGTAGAAACACACCTTTCTCAGTTGTACTACGAATTACTGGACACCCTGTGTGCAACACCTTTGGAATTATATCTAAGAGAAGCTGCTGGGAATATTAATCTTAAATCTTGCACCTGTTTGTATATGAATATTTTAGCGAGTCATTCGAGCGTCATCTTATAAACGAACGTAAACATGCTCTTAGAGGCTTGTACACTTGATGCAGACTGACTACCATGTGTCATGTTTGGATTATCATTTCAATATCCGCCGTGAAAATTCATGAACAAAGCGCAATTCATCTTCTTCAATATTACTGCTTTCTCATCTCTTCCCTTCCTAACTTAAACAACAACTATACTCGTTTACCTACTATTACACTAATTACAATCAACATCCCTTAAAATACACCCAATCACGTTTCAACAAAGTTACAAAATTTCCACTTGAAATTCTTTCCCAAAGCTCATGTACAAAACTCCCGACGCAATCAATTACTTCTGGAATTCAAACAACTATACTCATTCACCTACTATTACATTAATTACAGTCAACATCCCTTAAAATACTCCCAATCACATTCCAACAAAGTTACAAAATTTCCACTTGAAATTCTTTCCCAAAGCTCACGTACAAAACTCCCGACGCAATCAATCTACTTCTGGAACAGTCATTTTCCAAGGCAACATCTACTAAACTCATCCCCTCCGTTCAATTTGCCCCATCAATCAGTAATCTTATCAAATCCATGTAATTTCCGTATATTTCCTTTCTCGGGAAATCCGGTACAGAAGCACAGGTGCTCGAAACTCGATCGATATCCCCCAGCAGCCTCTCCTTAAATAAAATTTCCAGGCGTCCGTATCCCTGGCCGTGTTTACACCGCAGTATCCTCTTAAAGCTACCGTCGTGTCTCGAGTTCGTGTAAGACTTCTCTCAGCGTTGTGTATCCGTCCACTGCAGGGACTGCATTCTTGGGATGTCGTTTCACGGTATGCACGTGCATACGTATGTTAACGAGCGTTTAAGGCGATCGAACCTCGGTTCTGACGACGTTACCGTCGACGATGGATCGAACTGCACGGGGGAAACACGATCAACTCGGGACGACGATGCTGCGAAAATTGCTATCACGGGGCGAAACAGACCACGCGTCCGGTTCGCTGCTCACATGTCTCTCGATTTGGAAAAAAAAAATGGTTTCGGGACGAGTCGGCGAGATACGTGAATCCTGACTGCGATTTCAGTGAACTCTCTTGCGACGGTGTGAACTTTCGTTCGATCTTCGACCCTGATGCAATACTCGAACGTTGGCTAACAAGAGCAATGAACCCCGAGGAATCGGTTGCAATGAAATCATCGGCGCGGGCTTCGGCGTTGCTGTTTTGATTGATGAAGACATATCGAAAGCGAGTATGATAATGGATATTAATAGACGATAATATTGACTGATGTTAAGTTTGATAGATACTTGCTTGTTGAGTGAGTCACTTGATGTTGTCGTTTCATTATATCGAAATTATGGTGTACCTTAAGTTGATTGCTTTTGGGCAGAAACAGTTTCGTACTTTTTTCATAGAGAATTGCTACGTCTAATGGAGAAGTGAATGATTACTTTTGAAAGTTCTTTTAATAGATAATAATAATATAGATTAAGATCGTAGTATGTTGAAACCTATTCGCGTGAACAAACTCCTATTAATTATCATTCGGTTAACAGAATCAAAATTAGGAAGTTAAATTATGCAAACTATTATAATTGACTCAAGATTTACAATTAGAACTAGAAAGGTGACAAGTAAATAACTTTCAAACGTTCAATCATCTTTCACCAACAAGAAACACTGTCAATCCTCAATGCTTATGTCATACTTGGCTTCGATAAATCCTCGTCAACGAAAATCAGTACACTCGAGCCTCGCGGCGATAAGTTCACCGTAACCCGAACGCGATTACATGTATTAAATAATCCACGAGAACGTTTTGAATGGCGTGAAAGTACCTTCGCTCGCGTCGTCGGTGTTCTTCGGCTTTCCGCAACGTTCTTCGATGATGCGCCTCCTTTCCGCGGCTTTTCTCTCCTGTTCCTTCTTCAATTCCTCGGCAGCTTTCTTACGCAGCAACAGCTGCAGACACACACGAACGTTGGTTATTATCAGACAGGAACCATTGATCGAATGAAAGAGAAAGAGAATCTGGAGCAGTGTTTCTTAACCTTCCTCGAATCAATCATCTACGTTTTATGTAATATTCCTGAGTCATGCGCGATCAATCCCGGTTTACAAGAAGACAATCGTGTTCTCGTTAAATTTCGAACTTGATCATTCAGATTCTTACGTTACTCGAAATATACGATCAAATTTGATCAAAAAGATTTGAAAAATTATCTGCGGTGTTAAACATTTGATATAATCACATAATCGAGGTTCTATCGTATTAACTTTCCATCTGGAAGCTTCAGAAATGTCATCTTTCCGAACCTTCACTAGATCAAATGCGAACTGCGAAAGAAACCTATGGAACAACCCGATATATACGACTATAGCGTCGACATCTTTTTCTCCCAGCATCAAAATTGCAGTGTCAATAATTTACTGCCAATAAACATGAATTTCCGATGAAAATGCAATGGGAATATTTCGCACAATTGTCCAAAATTGAATTGAAGTTTGAACCGTACTCCATAACGCGGGCGCACTTTGAGAAACACTGACCTAGGAGAACAAAGTAAGGGGGATTCAGGGAATCGTAAAACCGACGGATAAATTTTCCCGCGACGCGACCTCTCCGAGAATATTATGCAAAGGGCGGGTGGATAAGCTTGTTCCGAGATATCCGCGGGGAGGACAGGAACATTCGCGGCGGAAAGGCTTCGAAACCGGCGGAAGTTCCGCGCGTTGAAGTGTGACAACGTAATAAAGAAATACGGCGCTTTGAACGGCGTTGCCCGGCGAAATGAAGATCTAAGACGACGATAAAGCGCGCCGTGTAGAGTCGAGCGAACGCGAAAAGTTGTTCCAGCGAGTGTAAAACAATGGCAATAGTGTCGGGATTCTACTGCCACCGCAAGAAGTGTTTAATAGCATGTGTTGTTCGTGTGTCGTGGTAATTATTCGTACGATGCACGTATGAAATACTCGTGCAACCCTTAGTTTCGTGTTTTCTACGTTGTCTCCTTGTTTATTCGATAGAGACACAGGAATATTTTATTCATTTACCTCTTTATTACTTGATTTTGTAACACACGATAATACTTTATTACTGTTGCAATACTTTAGAAATAAAGAATCACGAGAGTTTATTTCATTTCGCAGTAGGAAATCGAATACTGTTGTAAATAGGTTATGTTACATTTAGTAAAAAGGAAACTATTTCTATTGTACTTTTTTAATGATCGAACACTTTGTAGAGTGTTAGGATGTAGTATCTTGCAAATAATTTCGTTTGAAATTCTTGAGGAATGTTGAAGAGATGAAAAAAGAGGATACACAATTTTCTAGAAAATTTTCAGAGGGTTAAGAAAGGGGAAAAAGAGGATTCGGAATTTCTGAGGAAATTTCTGAAGTGTTGGAAGGGTGAAAACAGAGGGTTGACGATGGAACATGTGTAGCGGGACAGGGAATTACCAAAGAATGCGGCGTAAACTCACCCTAAGCTTCTTCTTCCTGTCAGGGGTCATGAAACCCTTCTTCGCCTTCTTGGCTTTGGAAGCCTCTTCGAGGCGGGCGCGGACCTCCGCCCTCTTTCTGTCGGTCTCCGCCTGTTTCCTCTTCTTTTCCTACATTTTCCGTGTGAAACTCCCTTAAAACATCTTATCTAACAATGCCGCGGAACGCGGCGTTCAGCGTCGAACGAGAATCTTAAGGAATAAATCTTGGAAAAGTGAAAAAGCAGACTGAAGCGGCGAGAAAAAAAAGAATGAAAAATACAAGTATCGTTATTCTCCGTCGTAAGATTCATGGAAAAAGAAAATTCTAAAATAAGCTGAAGAGCTCCGTCGCGGCGGGGCATTCGCGAGAAAGCCCGCCGCGAATAACCCTTTCAATTAGCACCGCTGGACAAGTTATTGAAAAAGTTTCGCGAGCGATCGTCCTGTTCTGCTTGAGTTTAAGGTTCACCGATAGTTTCCCCTCTTACGTACATCCTCGAGACGTTTCCTCTGTAAAGAAAAAGAGACGGGGATCGTGAGTGATCGAACTTCGCTTGACTTCGTGTAGACGGAACGCGAAACAACGTTCGGAAATGAACAATTTTTCTGTTTAGTATCCTACGATTTTCCTATTTTAATCGACTATTTGGTATCTCGACTGATCAATCATTTCTCACGCGAATATTAACCATTGCTTTACATTTAATCTTTATATTGGCAACTGAAATATCTATATCCAAATTTTACAATATCTTCGCGTAAATTCGTTCTCGAAGGAAAAATCGACGTAGAAATGGGGATGAACGCAATTTGAAATTTTCAGAACAAAGATTTATACAGATTAGGAAAAAAGCAATTGTATTTAAAAAGTAACTTTATATTTGAAATTTTCAGAACTGAACAAAGATTTATAAAGATTAAGAAAGAAGCAATTGTATTTAAAAAGTTACTTTATATTTGAAATTTTCATATTGATCCAACGAAACATTCGTAACTTCGTATCTCTATTCGTTACTCATTTCTAATCGAAAAGAAACGAAATAATTCTTTTCGTACGCGTAACGCGAATGATACGCATAGGAAGAGCATCGTGTTTCGAGTTCCGTCTTGAGAATAGCGCAAAGCGTACAGAAAGCCGTAGTTTTCGCGTGGCTTGCAGCGAGATGGCCGGCAATTCTCAATCTCAGTGAATCATTTCGGACGTACGTATCTACGAGTCGCGAACGGCGGATTACAGAGTTCGGCGTGGCATGCAATAATTGGTTGACACGCGTGCTGGCAATTCGAAACGTGATTGAAATTCCAGCGTTTGAATCGTCGGATATTACATCGAACACGCGCTAATAAACGAAAGCGTGAGGAGCATGCTGCGAACACATAAAGGACGCTTCACGCCGCAGGACACAGAAATATTTTGTCTTTCATGCGACCGTAGTTTCTACATTACCCCAGGTTTCTCTGGTTATCTACGTGGCTCGTGCTTGGAACTATATTCTACCGCTACATTCGCTCACTACGGTTCTGGTCTTACATGTCTCACTTTGACTTGTTGGTGAGATTAGAGGACGCAAGGTGGATTCATTAAAGTGGCTCTCTGACGGAACGTCGTAAGTCGTGGATATCTCGTTTGAACCTAAGCGTTACAACTTAATCCAGTGTTCACGAGTTACATGAATAGCACCATTGACAGCTACTTCAACTGTTTTGCTAATTAAATACTTCATTGTAATTTCATTGGAAACGAAAGATATCCTTAAATGTATTTTTTATTCCACTTTGATTCAACTGAATTCCAATCTTTATTCTGTAACACTCGATAAGTTCTTAAAACTTAGATTTTTATTCTACAGTGAGAATTTCTGTAACTTACGTTACCGGAATCAGTACAAGATTCTACCAACTTCGATCCCACAAATAAACAGTTATTTAATTCTCCAAGGGAACCAACAAAAGCTTCGCGTACAGTCGATACCGTATTCTTATCAAAACTTAATTCAACCTTCCGGAATCACGATAACAATGGAAACTGAAATTTTCCTTGGATGCGACTTACGCCGTTCCACCGTACCACCACGGAAATGTTCCCGCGAAACAGAAGGAACGGGGTGGGTCGGAAATACGTTCTCCTGCGGGGTATAAAAACTTTCCCGCGCGGAATGAACTTCCGTCGGGAGGCGCATGAAAAGGAACGCTGATGGGATTCTAATATTTTCGTGTGCCAGCAAGGATATCTCCTGTTGCGATTCGAGTAGAGGAGGAACGGGACCGGAAGTGGAGAGGGGTCGTTACGGGGTGGATATTAACCCCTTCGTGTACAATGATATCCGAGACGTCCTTCGGATTTCCAGTTCAGTATAATAAAAATCGATTTTATCCCGTTGCAGTTACGTACACGTAAAAGATTATTTTTCTATCATCAATTTTTTTCTTCATAGTACCTCGTTTTCGTAAATTATTAACTACTTGGAATTTAATCTATTTATATATAATTTCTCAACTCATAGGGAACGATCTTCGATACACCGATAAATGTCTTTTATTCTTGTAATAATAATATTATAACAATGACGTTATATTTATATTTCATATAAATGTAAATAATAATATAAATAATATATAGTATAAATAACATATAAAAATCGTTGAAGGATTTCTGTAGACTTTTATCCCGCGATTGCAATCACGTGTCAAAAACGAGATTTAATCAACTAATTGGTTGACACTAGAACTGCCGAGCATTCAATACAGTCCTTATTACATTTCATAAATTACGATTAGTATATAAACCCTTTTACTCTCAGTTTCTGCAAACATTCATAGTACTCAAGTGAAATTATTTTCAAATCATTCCATATATTCAATGCTTCCAAGATACGAATAATTTCGAAGCATAGATATCGAAACCAGTCGTTTTGACCGGTAGTTCTAGCGTGAACAGTAACGCAAGTCCGACAAGCGTAGTCTCGAAGAAAACCGTGCGGCAAGGGGTTAATGAAACATTTTTACAACCGTGGTCTACGTGGAAAACCGGGCTACACGGAGGAAGTTGGCCAGCGGCAAAAAGGAAAAAACGGGAATAAAGAACAGATAGAGTGTGCTGCGCGGGGCGGTAAATAATGTCGAAATAAGGACGTGAGTGGCCCGATAAATCAGAGGTAAAGTCCACCCCGCGGAGGCAACGGACGCGTCGGTCTGTAATACTTCCGGGTCTATCTCTTACTCTCCGAGGCGAAGCGAATTTTACGTTTATGTTCCCGGAAATACACGTCGAGTCCCGTGAAACCGAAACACGTTCTCGATGTGTTCAATGAGTTTTCTCTTTTATCAATAACTGTTTCTCGCGAATTTCGACGATTCTGCGATTCGAAGCAAATGTCGCGAATAATAAATGTTCGGAGGAAAGTTGAATTGACTGTTCAAATTCCTTTATAGAAACTCCACGAGTTCATCTATTGAGACTCAATTGATTTACAATTTAGTTTTTGTATTGCTAAATCAATTTCTTCAGTTCTCAAAAAAACATCTATCTTAATAATTGCAAGACATCAGGAATAGGTCAGTTTGACTCATCTGGTAGTTTTAGCGTTAAATTAGATTTCCTGCATCAGTTGAATATAAAATAATATATGAATAAATAAAGTGAAATAGATGAATTAAAAATGTTGGGAAACATTATCAGAGTGTTTGCACAGCGATCTCAAGCCGGTGGAGGATCCTGTGCGTGTTACTTATCGGTTCAGCTAACATTTTTGTTGCCTTCAATAGAATTCCTCCGGCAGGATGGCACAATAAATAAATAAACGAGCAAACATCCCGTTTCTCTGTTTGCAGAAGCATCCGCGGCGTATCCCTTATTTATTTGCCTCGAACAGCGGTTGCCTGGCGCGCGGCGAAAAGATTATTACTCGACGAAACATCGGAGGCAACCGAATGCAGAGCGATCCCGAAGGATTCCACGACTTTCCTCCGGCGGGATGGAGCCGCAGTAAGGTAATCCGGTATTCCATAAGAAATGAAGAGATAAGGAGGGTTACTGGCGGGTCGGATAGAAAAATCAGGAGAAGAGGATCCTTAGTTCCGTCGCGGGAAAAGGGAAGTATCGCGGATCGCTGCGGCGAGGATAAACTTCTATGATCTCCTCGTTATTCGATTGTGGTACACATGAAAGCACAGTAGAGCCTTGATTATCTGAATATTTGATTATCTAAGCGTTCGATCGTCTCGATGTTTGTTTGCCCGAGGGCTTGATCGTCTCGATGTTTGATCGTCTGAACGTTTGATTTCTCGAACGTTCTGTTATCTGAGAATCAGTGAACTGAGCTAATTTTTTGGATATATTATTACGTATCCATTAGACGCATATTAACACAACTACCGAGCAGTTAAGACTTTTTAGGATTTCTCTATAGAAACGATAGTGTATCTATTCAGACTTTAATTGATTCAGTTTGCGTATTAATAATAGAAACATCTATTAGCTTTTTTATAATTGCTGGTAGTTTCAGTGTTAAAATATTGTCTATATATATTATTGTCAACTGATATTTGGATCGTATCAAGAAAATGCTAATGAATCATATAAATTCAAACAAATCGTTATATACTAAAGAGACATCATTTTTCACGCGGAATACAATTGTGAAATTCAGTTGATTGATCATTTGTACAATTCGATCGTCTGTATATCTGGAATTCAATTGATTCGGACAATCGAGGTTCTACTGTGCCATTAAAATGAATATCGTGGCCTCGTCGCGGACCGCAAACTTCGCGCGGCCGCGTCGAGCGTCCGTTTTGAGAAGAAAAAACTAAAACGTATGACAAAAAGGATGAGGACAAAAACAGGGTGCTCGGTCGATTCGGAGCCCCGACTGGACCGAAGCTTCTTTAGTTTCGGAAGCTGTCGTTCCGTCTAAGCAGCTACTACCGAGCAAAAACGAAAACTAGTCTAGAAGGAAAAAAATCAAAAAGTACAAAAATCGGCGACGCAAAAATTCTAGCCGCGCGCGGGTCGATGGTCTTTTTGGTCGGGTCGATTGCAGTCGTGAATTCCGAATCTCTTGTGTTCACATTACGATGCAACGATATTGTCGATAAACGAAAATATAATGATAATAGTAATATTATCATTTAATAAAAATATCTACATAACGAAGATATATCTAATCAATGTTGTATCACTGTTACTTTACTGTAGAATATACCAAAGGCAAAGAGAAGATTGATTTTCTTCGAGAAATTTATTCATCGAATTTGTTTCGGAATTCACAACTTCGATTGTTTATACAAAAATGGTCGTAGGAGGTTTTATCTCCGACAGGGTGTTCGCAAGCAGAAACAGCACAAATGATGCGTACCTTTCGGAATAATTAATTACACTGCACGATCCGAACGGGGACGGGAAGATCCATTTGTTCGCCATTCCCGCGTGAAGTCAAGAGTCAAGTGCGCCGTGTATCCGTGGCCGACGAGGCATGATGGGAGCAAATAGAGAGAGAGAGAGGGAAAGAGAGAAAAAAACATATTAAATCGCGGACGGATCGAACGAAAAGTTTTTTTCCAGCGGGCCCGGCGCCTCGATTAGCCCACCGGAAAATCATGAAATTAATTTATAAATACACCGCGAATTCTCCGGCGGGTCGCGGTAACTCCGGCCAGAACTCAATCAGCCGAAAACTTTGATAATTAGATCGCGGTTTTTTATGCGGTCGCGGGCACTCGCGTCGAGTCGAAAACTGAAAGTAGAATGTTTAATGAAATTTCCCTGCTACCCGGGATCCCGCGGAGCGCGATTTTCCAACCGGAATTACAAAATGAATCTTCGTACCGAATCAAATGAGATTTAATCAAGAGCGACCGGGGAGATAAGAGACTTAATAGAATAAGTGGCCTTGATCTGGACATTTTAAATGAAAGCTTCCTGGAAAATTGTAGCTTCAAGGGCTAACGTATTTTTTCAGGATTCCCGTATGCCGCTGCGCGTTAAAGATCCACGTTAAAATGAACGCCCGCAGTCTATTCATAACATTAAAAAAGATTTTACCTTATATTCCCAGCGTAAAACCCATTGCGAAGGGAAACGCGGTTTCGCGTGAACGTTTCGCGCGGAAATAATGAAATAAGCGTGTTCCTATTAAAGGAGACGTTTCCAGTACCCACCTAACCTCATCGTCCGCCATCTTGGTATCTGGCTGCTACACGCGTCTACCTAAAAATAAAGCAAACAGAAAAATAGATGTAATATTCCTGCCAAAACGATATCAACGTTGCGTCACGTAATTTCTTTTGTCTCGCGTGACTCTTTTTAAATATCATTTATTTTCCATTTCACGTCGGAATTATACGAGCGGTGCGATTCGCTCGAGCATTGCAGCAGCAGTGGAATGAACTCGGAATCGCGCGAACTTCGCGAACCGTTCGCATTCTTTTCAACTATTTCGAGGCGTTCCTAAACCGTTCTAACTTTTCTCGGAATAAGTAACTCGACCGAGTTTCATTTATTTTCTTGGGAGTTTCGTCTCGATGGGATTGCATGCCCGACCAACGTCAGTTTCTAAATGTTTTCGAACACGACAAGGTCACGTGACGACCGTGCAACAGTCGAAATAATCTTTTTCGAGTGCTAGAAACTGTTACACGCGACTAAAACTCGAGAATTTAGTTCAATTGTATCTCAGTCCTTGAAGCATCGTTCGATATTTCTCATTAGAATTTTTCCTGTCTAAATTCCTAGACTTCCCAAAAATCTCACTAACAGAAACCACCGATCAATCCGATAAAACGATAGAAGCTCTATATTCATCGTAACTGCAAGTAAATCAACAATATTCACGTTCTCCGTACAAACACCTAAGAATCTTCGAAATCGAAACTTTCGCGACCAGTTTCGATACCTAACCTACATTCATATTCCTTCTTCTCCGCAGTTACACCCTTTATAACCCCGATACTTAGAAATCCCTACTGACACTCTTAAATTACGTCTAGCATCAAAGATTAAGCGACAACCGAAAGAAAACGATCGGAAACTTGACATTCGTGATTTTTACTGATCCCCTATGTTCTACTGCCAACCATAGACTCGTGCAAGGGGATGGAAGGGCAGGGGTGGGTCGTACGGGGGAGGATCGTCGGTTACGTCATTCGGATAAATTTCTGTTTCCGGCCGTTCGGTCAGTGACAGGCATTCCGGTGGATTTCGCGCGATAAATCGTCGGTCCCGCGCGTAAATTCTCGGCGTCAGCCGCCTCCTCGTTCGCGCGCGCGCGCGCGCGCGCCCGCGACGGTGTAGAATATCCGGTGCTCGAAAATAGACACGCGCCGGACTCCGCGGCCCCACTTTCCGAACGGTCGCCGACGACGACGTCGATGCCGTCGACGATCCAAATTTGGACGCAACGACCCGGTAGATGCTCCCGACTCCGACCCGATCCGACGCCGGGAACCGAGAGCCGAATCGAATCTGGAGAAAAGGACGCGATAAGGGAAGCCACTCGTGCCAGCGCTGGATTGCGGCACGAGCTGCACGCAGGCCAAATCATGATTAACCCTTTGCACTCGGAAGATTTTCACTAGAAACGTTCGACATTTCTTTAAACGCAACGCGACCGGACAGACGACCGATTTTAACCCTTAGCACTCGAGAGGCGACTCCGAGTCGTCATTTGATTGAACGCAGTAAAATTGTAAAATGAAAAATTCAATATAAAATGTTCAATGAAGTATTAACACGTGAAACATTGAAATAAAATTCTGTCCCATAATTTGTGCAAGATTTGTGTAAGTTGCAAATAGTATTATTAATATTTCGTCAGAAAATAATGAATGTTTGTAATGAAAAACATTGTCGAGTGCAAAGGGTTAAAATTTGATCGAATATTCGATGTTTCCTTTTGTTCGTTTCACTTTATATTGATTTTTATATTGTACGGTTAATCGGTTGTCCATGGTTTATCTTTCCCCTTGTTTCTGTTTTCACTCATTTTTCCTATACGTTTTCACCTTTATCTTGTGACCAGTTATTTTACTGGTTATGATTGGGATAGGTGTATAGAAAGTGCTGGTACGGTTAGTGTTATGGATCGAAGCTATTTTATTTGAATGTTTTGTGTATTGTTGCGTTGTATGAAGATTAGAGTAAATATGAAACTACAATTTGATTAATTACAATGTGAATGTAGGTGATTGAAACTGGTCTACGGAGTGCAAAGGTTTTCTCTGGTTTTTGTTTTGCGAACTTGATTTGGCGAACGAACGGTCACGTAGATCGAGAAATCGTATTGGCAGATGATACTGTATTATCGACGTTCGATTGAGTCTCCTATGATCAATGAAGAATTAGAACTCGACCTTCCTAAACTTGCGTGTCTTGAAGTTATCAGGGATGTTATTTAAATAATCTCGAAACTATCCCGAATGAAGATAGTAGTGATGAATAAAATGGTACTTGGATGAAACGGATTACAAATCGATACTTGTACGAGTGGCATCCGACTCGTTCAATTCGAAGTCACATGATACGATGATTGTCTGAAATAATATATTGCCTTAAACGGTGAACGGCAAACAGTAAACAACGAATGTTCCAAGAAATTGAACGCTTCTATTTCTCCAAAGATAGTTCAAACATCTGGCAGTAAATACAAAAGACCAGCGACAAAAGGCATTCAAAATTAGTATCTTTAGTTGTAGATAGAGGACATTTTCCTGATCCCCGAGACCATGAAAGGAGAAGCTCTTGAAACGCTCCCGCCAGCCGGTAGAAATAACTGTTTAAATATAGAAAGTAGGATACGGTTGTTTTCCGAGGTAGAAACAATAATCGTGTGTCGCGGGATTAATTAAGGCTCGCGCTCGAGCAACGGGGGATGAATTTAAACGCGAGAGCCGTGAGTCCCTCGACGGAAAGGAATTATCAATTATTAAAGAAACGTTGGCCAGCGGATCGCGTTACGTCCGTGGACTGCATTAATTCATTTCTTTGGCTGCTGTTTCTTGTGCAGCGACGTTCGAACGACGGCAATGAGTCAGCTACAATGTTTCAAAATAGCTTCCAAATTTACTGCATCCATCGATTGTGTAACCGGCTCGCGTACACCGTTCACCGCACGAGAGCTGACGTTCGACTCTATCTCGAAATTCTGTCGACCTTCCGAAACCCATTGAATTTCTCTTTTTCTCATTCCTCTCGTCGGATTTACTAAAATATTTCACACAAAATAATCAAAAGAGCCAATTGAAGAGTCATCGGGTGAACACGCAAGAAAGCTAAAATTTAGCCGAGCACACAGATAAGAGTTTGAGTTCACACGATCACTAATCTTGTATCTTCCACCGAATTAGACGAGAGAGATAATAATTTCCCTTAATCTAAATAATTCAATTGTTCCTTTGAATTTCGGATGAATGCTAATGTCGCCAACATGTCCGTCCTCGAAGGGTTAAGTTCAAGATGTCGGACAACCCGGGATCCCGAGTTCCCCCTGGACGATAAAATCAACATCGTGCAACAAGGTGAGGTGTTAAACGGGCGAGAATAAATGGAAATACATCGTCTAGCATCCATTGGAAAATCGGGAAAGTATCCGTCCGCGAGAATTTCATTGGATCACTGGCGAGCGTCGCCTTTTATATTTGTAATGGACGATCGCCTTCGCTAAGTATAGATTCCCTCTCACTCGAGCCATTCCAAGACACGTCCCGCCGAGAAGACTCGCCGATGTGTGTCCCGTCTCCGATGTCAAAGAAGATCCCGACACCGTAAAAATAGAAAACACGTCGAGTCCACCGCGGACGATCTGCCTAGCGAACGATCTCCCCCCTACGGGGAGGATCGAACTCGTTCGATCCACCGCCTCGATCGTCCGAGTAAATCGAGGAGCGCGCCAGGTGATCGCGGGGACGTTTCTTCCTGAAACGCGTCCGGTTGACTCGAAAGCGAATCTCACTGGGCTATTCTATTGTAGAACGAAAGGAATTTCCTTGGAACTCTCAGCCCGTTAAATGGTAGCTCGACACTAGAACTACCGTACCAGTCAAAATGACTGGTTTCAGTTTTCCTGTTTCGCAATTATTGATATCTTCGAAGCGTCGAATATTCGAAATGATTTTGAAAATAAATAGTTTCACTTGAATACTATAATGAATGTCTGAAGAAACCAGAAATAATCAATTACTACAATATTCATGGCGATTACATTTCAATCGTATCAAATGCTCGGTAGTTCTAGCGTTAAAATCGTTCTTCACCTACAGCGAACCTTCGTTCTTCAAAAGAATGTTCTACTGAACTTCAATCGATAGCTACCACTAACGTTAAATAAGCCATTACTATCGAATTAGCTAGAAAGTCTATTAAGAAAGTTTCAAGGCGAGTTTCATATTGATTGTTGCACGATCAACCGATTCACGGTCCAAGTTGTAATGTCGGAAGCTTACGAAAGTTTACCGAAGAACATCTAGAGACCAGTTACCCGACGATTGAATCGAACTTCATTACCCGTTCTCCACTTTCCGCCATCTTTCAGCGCGTACCCTATTTATAACGTCGATTTCAGTGTCACCGGATCGAAAAGAAGCAACGCGGACCGTTCGGGAGCGTTATTACCGTTTCCCCGCGGTTCATTCTAGCATGCTGACATCATTAACAAAAACCGTTCGCACCGGAGCAGCCTGCGTATCGATTTCTGATCGAAGTCGCGCGCCAAGGTGCGTCTTAAAAAAAGACAGACGGCCGAGCGCGTCGATTCAGACGCGTCTGAGGAAGCTATAATTGTCGAAGAGGTATCGGTAGCCGCCGCGAATACTGTTACAAGGCTGTTTGCGTGTATCCGCGTGCGGATCGCGTTGCGACGAGTCCAAACCACCTCGAGTCCCTTCCAACAACTTCTACCCGCCTACGCCAGAATCGTCCTCTCGAACCGATACCGATCTCAACCCCGAAGAACCAACGCGACTACGACTGACTAGGACAACGGTACGTTCACACCAACCGAGCGAACATGTTCATTCGTTCCTGAATTCGACGGGAAGTTCGAACCGTTCATCCACTCTCGATAAACGCTAACCAAGACCTTAGAGACGAAAGCGTTACTCGCCGAACGTACGAACGTTACTTTTAATTCCGTTTCGATTGCAACTGAAGCGACATAGACGCATTCCTGCTCCTTTCTAGCTTGACTGTAGCTTTATGATCGCTGCGAACGCGTCGTAATGTAGACGAGCGCACTAATCTAGTCTCTCCAGTTAAGTTCGTCGGCACAAGTATCTCCCTCGAGGGAGGATGTTCAGCAACGGAGCAAAAGCCTGTCGGGAAATGGTCGTAAGCACGAGGTGTCACTCGGATGACAACGCGGGTTGCGTCCTCGGATGTCCTTTCCGAAACATCACAGGCCAAGCCGAGGTTTAAGCGTTTAACGGGATCGATTCGACTTCTCGCACTCGTGACCTTGAAAAATCGGTTCCGTGGAAGCACACCTTTCTCTCGCTCTCTCTCTCTCTCTCTCAGACGCTCTCTTTCTCTCTCTCTCTTTCTCTCTCACACGCACACTGATTGCACTCGACGCGGCTAAGGTTTTCTGGCTTCGTGTTTCCCTCGGGACACGGATCCTGAAGAGGACGGCGGGCGTGGACGCGCGGTTCCAGCGCGGACCGACGGCTTTTGCTTACCTTGAGAAAGAACTTTGCTGGCTGCGACTGGCCAACCGGACCTTAGGCAGCTGACTGTGCCATCGTGGATCCCTAGCCGACTTCGTGAACCTCCATCGTAGGGTGTTCACGTGGTGCCGGCCGACCAATGGCGGCACGCCCTCGGTCGTAAGCATTTTTAGGCGAGAGCTCTGCCCGCTCCGCTTGCTGCCAAAAATAATCGGAAACTGAAAACGGAGCCGGGCCTGCTACTCGCGTACGCTACTTCGCGAGCGGGCGAGCACGCCACGCACGAGATGCGGGGTCTATCGAGCCCGATGCATGGAAAGGATGTATGTACCCCATAGAATGGGATTGAAAGATATTCCGATCTCGAGTTTATCAGATTTGCGTTCATACTGAAGATACTGCGAATGGTCAAGCTGGTTTCTCGAATTCGATTTAGAATTCTTTCGTTTTCTGCGTTCATTTAACAGTCGATTTCATTTCTGTTATCCGAGTAAGGTTTTCATCTGTTTCCTTTGCTCCTGTTCCTGTTTCTGATAAGAAATGTTTATCGTTTAAGTTGTTCAGCTTTGTTTTGTAACTTGTTAGTTGATTAGTTACTTCTTTCGATGTAACTTCTTCTGTTTGTGTTACTCTCTTATGAAGAGCGTCACTTTTATAGCTAATGTTCGAATGTTGAGTGGCGTTTTTGACGACTTCTTGGGCCGCGATGTCGTGAGCTATGTAAATGGTTGATTACAGGTGTACTATTGTATACAGTCTGGGAAAGTATTTGGTCTTGGTGCGATTTTATTTGGAAGAAGTATCGTGTTTGGAGACACGTGAGATTGTTAGATATTTCTGTAGTCTAGATTCTTTAGTAACTTTAGTCGCTATGATTGATAGTATAATTGTTAAGTTAGTAATTTAATTTGTAAATGCAATGAGAGAAACGAAATAATCATTATTCAGTCTGTCAGATTGAATCGGGAAATACATTTCAACGAAATGTTTCATTTTAATTGTAAACAGATATGTACAATGAAAAGTATCAGTTACTAATTAATTTTCACGTTTAAAAGATATAATAACACAAACGTAAATTGCGCGATCGTTCGTGGTTCAACCCGTGAAATGATTTTAGGGGCAGATTGAAACAAAAGTTAACGACCCGTCTAGTTAGACGAGGAACGCGATTACCATTAGAATCTCTTTATTATTTTGCACCTGTGTAGGCTCCATTCCCCATATTTCCACGTTCGAGTTCCTATTCAGTGATTAAGCCATTAATGATCGGCGAAATTGGGTTCCATTGTTCCGCGGCGGAGCATTCTGAAAGATTATCCGTGAAGTGTGAGAACGGTGCCAATTAAATGGCAACGCTCCCCCCTGTTTTCTCTTCCCGATCGATCTTCATTACTCGAATGAAAGGGAAACTGAGGAAGTCCACTTTCTTCGTGGCACGCACTGAACGAGCGCCCGGATTAACACACTTAATCGAGTGTGTTGGAGGTACGGATGGGATCAAGTTCAATATGTGCTCACGAATTCGAGGCAATTTCGATGCTCGAGTCTCACGGTTTCAGGTTTCGACTGCCCATAGAAAACAGTGTCCCTGTTACTTCCTTTAATTGAAATATTCAATATTTCCTGGCATTGTGTATGCTGCTTAACAAATCCCTTCATCATTCCTATACCATGATGCCTGACACGTTATCTTAATATCATAAAGAGAGTGCACTCTTTGTTTTGATGTTCATTGTAGCATATTAACATATTGTCGACCGCAAACTTGCAGTGACCATTTGAAAGTAAAACTTTCCTAAACCATAGACAGCGTTTCGAACGATAATAGCAATAATTTACTACTAATGATTCTGCATTTTCTACAATATAAGTGTAGAGAGCAAGAGAAGAAGAAGCAGAAGTAGACAAGTCAAAAGTTCAAGTCAGAACTTCCATTTTCTTCTAAGATTTCGCAGGATCAAGGAAGAATACTCTTCAGCGAGGAAGAGATGGTATTGTTCTACATTCTCGAGCACGATGTCTGCAGGACTGCCCGCTAATTGGGCGTTTAAACAGAAAATAAGTGTAACTTAGAAGCGACAGAGATCGTAGGAGTATCTGCGAGCGCGTCAAGGCAGAACGAAGATATTATTAACGGATCGTTCTGGATTTCGTGGGGCAGCTGTTTGGCACTAAACGCGGTAACGCTGACGGAAACATCGCCGGCTAAACGTAACGTTTACGATTGCCCCCGATGTAATATCTTTCCCAAATTTTCGCGTTATCTGCGACCAGTAGCGAAGCGGCGTTCGCGCCGTAAAACCATCGTGCATCGTAAATTTGTTTATTTCCTGTCGTTCAGGACCGGTTAACGGGCAAACCGTTCTTTCATCCTCCGCGGACTCGTCTTTGTCGCGTTTCAAAATTCGTCCAGTTTATTTTGAAGCCGCCGTGAAGATTTTCACCGGTGTCACTCTCTAATAATGGAAACGTTAAAGCATGGATTGAATTTCGAGGATAGAGGATTTCGGGATATCGAGTTCTATAAAAAGTAGACCGGTCTATTTGAAGACACCAGTCCACCCGCGCGTACCATCGCCGCTGCGTGGTATTGTTCGGGGTTGAAAAGTCGCAAGGTTAAAGTAGGGAACGGTGGGTCAAGTAGAGTAGCTCCGTTCCCACGGACGCGTAGTGCACGTCCACCATACGTCGGACAGGCACGTAGCGTTGGTAACGTAGATCTTCTGATATCTGCATTCTTAACCTTGTCGGTACTTCAGAACAATATTACTTGCAAGTGATACAATTTCATATTTTCCGTACTCGTATGGTATGCAATGTCTATATTCCTGTGACAATACATGACATTGTATCATTTGTGGGAAACATTGTTCGGAAATACCGACAGAGTTAATAAAGTCATACTACACTGGCGCAATCTATCACAACACGACGGCATCTACTCAAAACGCGACTACACCGACAGAAGATCTGTACACAGGATGTATTTGCAATGCTAACAGAATATTCATTTTCTAAAAAATTAAGTTGAAGAGTCACTAACCTTTGGTACATAAAATTGAAGCTTGAAGTCTGCATTTTAGCGTGAAAGTAGTTTGATTCAAAAATTTCTGTTTATCGCGAGGATCCATTGAAAATAATGATTGTAATTTAAGGGTGTTCGAGGTCGCGATTCAACCCTTGGATTTTGGTAGATTTTCCAAATGATCAGCCCAAAGTTTTTCCATCTTTTGATGCGTGAAATTGATGTCTGACAACTGCACTTTAACGTGTAAATGATCGGAATTAAAAGGAACGTTGTTATGTTGAAAGTGGCGACCAAACTGCTGTTGTGCCGGAAACTGAAGTTCTTTAAGACTCGGCTGTTGCTAATTAAATAATTCTTGGCGTTATGTGGGTTACTGATTATCTTTCAAGTGATAAATATTATTCCTCCTTGTATATTGTATGGGAATAGTTACAGAATGATTACAGATGTTCACTTCTAATCACTAATGAGTATTATGTTCTGTGCTTGCATAAATACGGTGATTCTGTTCTAATTATCTTTCTATTAATACAAAGATTATCTATGTTTTAACACTACATTTAGGAAAACCATTTTTTTGTCAAGTATTATATTTTTTAAACATTGTTTGATAATTCTGTCGTTAAAGCTCTAATTTCCAGTATCTATATGAGTGATCACGTAAATCTAGTATTAAACGGTCTTGCAATTAGAGCCTTGCTAGTATAAATGATACATAACTGAAGCATATCTTGATTATCTGAAACAGTGTGAAATGTCAAATGAAAGTGCCGTGAATGAAAACGACAAGTATAGAAGAACCATGTTAAACTTACATTACCAAACGTCATCAAGGTCATAGGAAATAATTTTTCCGTGGTAATCAGGAACGGCTGCTTAGCTCTCATCATAACGAGGATCAAGCTTCTTACTTCATTTGACTTTAATTTTATCCATTCGCATTCGTAGACAGCATAGTAAAGTGCTTCGGACTTAAATCGCATTGTTTATAATCTTAAATAGCAATTTACATACAGATTAAACTTACTTACTCACTTGATTAGCCAATATTTGTCCAGTAATAAAATAAAATGATATTTGCATTATACAGCTGGTTACAAGACAGATGAGATAGATAATTCGCGTCAGTGAAGGCTTGCTATTTTCAGTTATCGCCTAGAAAATTAATACTCGATTGACTTATTGCCTCGAAGAAGTTTCTTTTAAATTCACTGAACAGCTAATTACGTACAGCCATTACTCCTGAACCGTAAACACAGAGCATTATCCCAAACAATAGCATTTGCGCAAGGAGTATCAGTTTGAACAAATTTTCGATCTTATCCACAGCTCTAGAACGAGTTGACGTTAAAAATGAGTTTCTTAAATTCGACGCTTGTCCTTGAACAAGGGTACTTGAACAAAAGTCCTTGAACAAGAGACCTTGAACAAGAGTCCTCGAACAGAATTTCTTCAATAGAAATACTTGAAAAAGAGTACTCGAACAAAAAAATGTATCATGCGTTTCGTTAGCCTAATCGAAACAAAAGTGTCTACATGAAGTACCTGCTAAGCCGTATGTGATCCGTTACTATGGCCGTCAACGTATGCTTGAAACTCTCGAATTCCTTTTCCCTGGCGATTCGAGTTCGGAAATTCTTCACTTGGCCGCAAATATGAAAGACTACCATTCCAAAAACCATATCGACACTGCAGTAACCCAACAACAAGAACCACATTAGGATAACTTGAACAACGTATATCATTTCGTAATAAGGACTGTGGTAAACATCGTATTCGTAGTAAGTCGGAATCGGGAATACGTCGCTTAGAGGTGACGTGTAACGAAAGTTTACACCAAAAATTGGGAAAAGGTCTGCACACAACACTGCAAAGAACACGACTGCGAAAGCGCACACGTTGACTACTCGAACGATGTTCGCGTAGTGTAACATCACGCTCGTTTCCTCGTCGGTTCTAGGTTTTGACCAATCCTCCGCCATCATATCTAAAATCGGCAGGAACGCTTCAACAAGACATTGGAATAAAAACACAGATTAAGCATTCACGAAAATTCAAATTACTAAACTTGCTTCTAAAGAATTATAATTCTCTCGTTAAAATTAAAATCTCTAGCTTCGATCACGCAATAAAAGTATATTTCAAATATTGAAGAATATTCGATATTACATTAATATGCATCAATATTCAACATTGAATAGCATAGGAACACATATTCTGATAAATGTCAAAGTAAAGGGCATTTCACTTTCAATTCGTTAAGAAACAAATTCGCTGAATCAATCGACTTACCATCCCGATTTCTATGAAAAATGAACACTTTCCACGTTATAGTGAACACCGTGCACGGGTACACGAGATTATCTACGATTGCCGTGAACTGTTCCAGTTTGCGCACGAACAACATGGTAGGAATCATCATGAAACAAATGAACAAGACCACGAGCGTATTTATAAACAGGTTTTCCATGAATCTCCTGACACCGTGAGTGTCTTCTGGCCAAAGACATATCAGTTTCAGGAAGAACCGACTAACTCCGACAGCCCACTCGTAACCTGCAAAGTTGGGAACAACGGATAAACAAAAATTTCTATTCTCCCGACAAGTACCGTGCGAACAGTACCTGCTCGTTTTACCGATTTCGAAGAACTCATGTCGCGACACGTACGACGTCGAACTTACTGTTGCTCTCCTCCAGCTGCTAGTGTTTTAATAAAAATGATAAGTACACGTTGCGAAGGTTCTGCGGAAAGTTGGAACCCTACAGCAAGTATAAAGGGATGGAAGAACCGTTGAATATTTCATGCCGAAGCATCGTGAGCCTTTAAAATTCTGCTACATTATCGTTTTGTCGTGTAATTTCCGTTTCGTCAAGTGGCAGGGTAGTTTTGAACAAACGGTAACTACATCGTTTACCCATTAAACTTTCGAACAGTGGAAAAAAGTGTTCGTCTCCACTCGTACGTGCATGTTTAATATTTTTGAAGGAGCGACCGATCGATAGGGTAGATCGTACGCAGCCCTGTTTTTCCCCATTTCGAAAGGGTTGAGCGTGGAGAACGAACGCGTCTGTTGTGCTCGTTGCTTCTTCGGTAGAAACGTAGAATCGTTTCCTTTGATGTTGATTGATGCACATTCCATAATGAATCTGTGCATTCTGCGTACAATCGCTTCAATGGACACCCACAGAGCTGAACATGTTCACAGACAAAGTGAATATTTTCCCAGTTGACAGTTTCCGCGGATAGTTCGACACAACGCTGAGGGTAATTAGATCACGTGCTCTTGTCGGTTGTAATTTGTACCAATCGATCTTATATGCTGCTGGCCCGATCTTGCTGCACTTATACGAAAATGATTAATGATAGTCAGATATGTCGAATGAAGCACTTTGGTTGTCTATTCATTCTTCAACGATAGTGTGCTATTTTTATTGAACATAATAATTTTGTTGGCATCTTTCAGTTATCAATTGTGTAGGTTAAATTAAGGGTTTTGACCATTTATTCATTATTTCCTTTCTTACTGTATAAATTTATTATATACGTTATTATGTATTGTACTGTATTTGTCGATATTGTCTAATATTAGTGAATTTCAGAAGAAACTATGTTGCCCTGGACATTATACAAGAAGTGGAAATTAAACGAGGTAAATTTATAAATACCTGTTCAGTCAGAATTTCACCTATGTAACAAAATATTATTATATTTATATGCGTTATACACGCAGCAGTGGTGATGCTGTACTTGATGAATCCAGAGAAGCAGTGGATGGAGAAGATGATCTCATATGTGGGACTGTCTGGGACAATCTGTGAATCGAAGAACGCGTCGTAGCCTGGATATATCAGCGTGTTCAGGTTTTGGTTGCTTCTCATCTTCGGCTTCGAGATGAAAGGCATTATCGTGTGATAAGACATGCCACCAGTGTAGAGGAAGACCGCGCAGGGGACGACCAGCTGGCGGCTGACGTACGATTGTCGCAGCATGATCCTGCGATGGCGTTCATCAGCGACTGTTCGCCGGTCCTTTCCCACGTGGACGATGCAACGTTTAAAAACGTTCCTGACTCGCAGCGGGGTTCGCTCCATAAAAACATCCTGCCTCGTAAATTTGTTTATTTCCTGTCGTTTAGGAGCGGTTAACGGAAAAACCGATCTTTCATCTTCCGCGGACTCGTCTTTGTCGTGTTTCAAAATTCGTCCACTTTATTTTGAAGCCGCCGTGAAGATTTTCACCGGTGTCACTCTCTAATAATGGAAACGTTAAAGCATGGATTGAATTTCGAGGATAGAGGATTTCGGGATATCGAGTTCTATAAAAAGTAGACCGGTTTATTTGAAGACAACAGTCCACCCGCGCGTACCATCGCCGCTGCGCGGCATTGTTCGGGGTTGATAAGTCGCAAGGTTAAAGTAGGGAAAGGTGAGTTAAGTAGAGTAGCTCCGTTTCCACGGACACGTAGTGCACGTCCATCATACGTCGTACAGGCACGTAACGTTGGTAACGTATATCTTCTGATATCTGCATTCTTAACCTTGTCGGTATTTTATAATAATATTACTTGCAAGTGATACAATTTTATGCTTTCCACAGTCGTATGGTTTACAATGTATATATGCCTGTGACAATACATGAAATTGTATCATTCATAGGAAACATTGTTGGGAAATACCGACAGAGTTATTAAAGTCATATTACACTGGCGCAATCTATCAGAATACCACGGCATTTACTCAAAACGCGACTACACCGGCAGAACATCTGTACAAAGGATGTATTAGCAATGCTAACAGAATGTTTATTTTCTAAAGAATTAAGTTGAAGATTCACTAACCTTTGGTACATGAAATTGAAGCTTGAAGTCTGTACTTTAGCGTAATAGTAGTTTGGTTCAAGAATTTCTTTTTATCGCAAGGATCCATTGAAAATTATGATTGTAATTTAAGGATGTTCAAGGTCACGAATCAACCATTAGACTTTGGTTGATTTTCCAAGTGATCAGCCTAATGTTTTTCCATCTTCTGATGTGTAAAACTGATGTTTGAAAACTGTACTTCAACGTTTAAGTGATCGGAATTAAAAGAAACGTTGTTATGTTGAAAGTTGCGACCAAACTGCAGTTGTGCCGGAAGCTGAAGTTCTTTAAAACTCGCCTGGTGCTAATTAAATAATTCTTGGCGTTATGTGGGTTACTGATTATCTTTGAAGTGATAAATATTATTCATCCTTGTGTATTGTATGAGTATAGTTACAGAATGAATACAGATGTTCACTTTTTTTCATTAATGAGTATTAGTGCTGTGCTTGCATAAATACGGTGTTGTAATTATCTTTCTGTTAGTACAAAGATTATCTATGTTTTAGTACTAGATTTACGAACATCATTATTTTGTCAGGTATTATATTTCTTAAACATTGATTGCTAATTCTGTCGTCAGAGTTATAATTTCCAGTATCCATATGAGTGAACACGTAAATCTAGTATTAAACGGTCTTGCCATTAAAGCCTTGCTAGTATAAATGATACATAGCTGAAGCATATCTTGATTATCTGAAACAGTGTGAACTGTCAAATGAAAGTGCCGTGAGTGAAAACGACAAGTATAGAAGAACCATATTAAACTTACATTACCAAACGTCATCAAGGTCATAGGAAATAATTTTTCCGTGGTAATCAGGAACGGCTGCTTAGCTCTCATCATAACGAGGGCCAAGCTTCTTACTTCATTTGACTTTAATTTTATCCATTCGCATTCGTAGACAGCGTAGTAAATGGCTTCGGACTTATATTGCATTGTTTATAATCTTAAATAGCAATTAACATAGAGATTAAACTTACTTACTCACTTGATCAGCCAATATTTGTCCAGTAATAAAATAAAATGATATTTGAATGATACAGCTGATTACAACAGATATGAGATAGCAGATTCGCGTCGGTGAAGACGTGCCCTTTTCAGTTATCGTCTAGAAAATTAATACTCGATTGACTTTTTGTCTCGAAGAAGTTTCTTTTAAATTCACTGAGTAGCTATTTACGTACAGCCAATAATGCTGAGCCGTAAACACAGAGCATTATCCCAAATAATAGCATTTGTGCAAGTATTATCAGTTTGAACAAATTTTCGATCTTATCCACAGCTCTAAAACGAGTTAACGTTTAAAATGAGTTTCTTGAATTCAACGCTTGTCCTTGAACAAGAGACCTTGAACAAGAGTCCTCGAACAGGATTTTTTAAATAAAAGTACTTGAACAAGAGTACTCGACCAAGAAAATGTATCATGCATTTCATTAGCCTAATCGAAACACAACTGTCTACACGAAATACCTGCTAAGCCGTACGTGATCCGTTACTATGGCCGTCAATGTATGCTTGAAATTCTCGAATTCCTTTTCCCTGGCGATTCGAATTCGGAAATTCTTCACTTGACCGCAAATATGAAAGACTACCATTCCAAAACCCATATCGACACTGCAGTAACCCAACAATAGGAACCACAGCAGGATAACTTGACCAACGTATATTATTTCGAAATAAGGACTGTGGTAAACATCGCATGCGTAGTAAGAGGGAAGCGGGAATACGTCGATCGGAGGTGACGCGTAACGAAAGCGTACACCAAGAATTGGCAAAAGGTCTTCACACAGCACTGAAAAAGACACGACTGCGAAACCGCACATGTTAACTATTCGATCGATGTTCGCGTAATGAAACATCACGCTCGTTTCCTCGTCTGTTCTAGGTTTTGCCCAATCCTCCGCCATCATATTTAAAATCGGCAGGAACGCTTGAAGAAGACATTATAATAAAAACACAGATTGAACATACACTAAAATTCAGATTGCTAAACTTGCTTCTAAAGATTTATAATTCTCTTGTTAAAATTAAAATCTCTAGCTTCGATCACGCAATGAATGTATACTTCAAATATTGAAGAATATTCGATATTACATTAATACGCATCAATATTCAACATTGAATAGCATAGGAACGCATATTCTGATAAATTTCAAAGTAAAAAGCATTTCACATTCAATTCGTTAAGAAGCATATTCGCTGAATCAATCGACTTACCATCCCGATTTCTATGAAAAATGAACACTTTCCACGTTATAGTGGACAGTGTAAAAGGATACACGAAATTATCTACGGTTGCCATGAACTCTTCCTGTATGTACACGAACATGATGCTAGGAATCGTCGCGCAACAAGTGAACAACACCACGAGCGTATTTATAAACAGGTTTTCCATGAATCTCCTGGTACCGTGAGTGTCTTCTGGCCAAAGACATATCAGTTTCAGGAAGAACCGACTAACTCCGACAGCCCACTCGTAATCTGCAACGTCGAGAACAACGGATAAACAAAAATTTCTATTTTCCCGACAAGTATCGTGCGAACAGCACCTGCTCGTTTTACCGATTTCGAAGAACTCATGTCGCGACACGTACGACGTCGAACTTACTGTTGCTCTCCTCCAGCTGCTAGTGTTTTAATAAAACTGATAAGTACAGGTTGCAAGGGTTCTGCGGAAAGTTTGAACCCTACAGCAAGTATAAAGGGATGGAAGAACCGTTGAATATTTCATGCCGAAGCATCGTGAGCCTTTAAAATTCTGCTACATTATCGTTTTGTCGTGTAATTTCCGTTTCGTCAAGTGGCAGGGTAGTTTTGAACAAACGGTAACTACATCGTTTACCCATTAAACTTTCGAACAGTGGAAAAAAGTGTTTGTCTCCACTCGTACGTGCATGTTTAATATTTTTGAGGGAGCGACCGATCGATCGGGTAGATCGCACGCAACCCTGTTTTCCCCATTTCGAACGGGTTGAGCGTGGAGAACGAACGCGTCTGTTGTGCTCGTTGCTTCTTCGGTAGCTGTTCCTCGCTCTTCGATGTCAGGTAAGTGAAACGTAGAATCGCTTCCTTTGATGGTGATTAATGCACATTCCATAATGAATCTGTGGGTTTCGTAGATTTGTGGTAAATGTGAATGGATAGATAAGTTTACAATTTTATTCATCCTAAACACACATCCAGCAGGCATTTATTACACCAACATTGACAACATACAAGAAGTTTTTAATTTTGCATTTAAAGTAATATCATTTTTATCAAGTATATGTTTCATATAAGCATTTCTCTTTTCTTGTAATTAGTCCATCGAATGTATCATTTCAAAGGTTTAGTACTGAATCTTGAAGAAAATATGAGTTCATTACCAAATTTTTGTCGGCCGGCTGGATACGTTGTGTAAAAAGTGAAATCATTTCTTGATACTCACTTTCTGAAATCGGCGAAGAATATCGTGCATCGAAAATATTCGGATGCAGAAATTAAATTTGCAATATATATGAAGGAATCCCTGCCAAAACGTTATCATTCTGGTGTTAGTCGGTTTTAAAATGCTTCCTCGGATTTATAACGGAGACCCACATTTTTCGTCTAATCTATCCAACTTTAGATTTTCCAGCGACACTGTTATTTATCTATTAAAGTCATTCTAGCGATTTCTTTCGAATCCGATAGCTCATAGAAAACTGATAATTTCGAGGTATTTGTAACAGTTACATTAATAACACGATATTTCATTGATATTTACATTTAATTTGATAATATGAAATGTAGAGCATCAGAATAATATAATACTCGAGCAGCCTTACAGAAAATAAATTAGAATTACTGCACCCTCTGCAGAAAGTGGCATGATTATTCAGTACCATTTTTATTGAAGAACAATCAATATTTTCATATTTTCATCCTGTAATATCATCGAATTATAACACAGTACCTATGCATTGAAGACGATGTACGTAATATTAGTTAACAAATATGTGTCATTCGTCGTTTAATGCTATTACAATATTCAGGCTGATAGATTCCAGGGATTAAAACACATAGTGTTTTCAAATGCACAGTGAAGATGTCGATGCAAAGCAGGTGTGTTGCTCGCAAAGCGCAAAATTTACCAACCGTTGATGATGTTCCATTAAATCGGGATTGCTACTCTTGGTCGAACTCTTTCTTTCAATCCATAACTGTGCGCAGTAAATTTAAATAAATTACCGAAGACTGCATCACCTGCAGTTAGAGCAAACGTTAAACCTCATCGTCTCTTACGTGGCGTACAATCGTTTCAATGGACACCCACAGAGCTGAACATGTTCAGAGACAAGGTGAATATTTTCCCAGCTGACAGTTTCGGCGGATAGTTGGACACAACGCTTAGAAGAATTAGATCACGCGCTTTCGTCGGTGGTAACTTGTACCAATCGATCTTATACGCTGCTGGCCCGATCTTGCTGCACTTGTGCATAAAAATGATTAATGATAGTCAGATATGTCGGATGAAGCACGTTGGTTTATTATTCATTCTTCAACGATAGTGTGCTACTTTTATTGAACGTTCAATTTTTTTGGCATCTTTCAGTTATCAATTGAATGGATTAAATTAAGGGGTTAATCATTTATTCATTATTTCCTTTCTTACTGTATAAACTTATTATATAAGTTATTATGTACTGTACTGTATTTGTCGGTATTGTCTAATTAGTGAATTTCAGAAGAAACTATGTTGCCCTAGACATTATACAAGAAATGGAAATAAAACGAGGCAGATTTATAAATACCTGTTCAGTCAGAAGTTCGCCTATGTAACAAAATATGGTTATATTGAACGTGAAGGATACCAGCAGCACGAAATATGTTAGTATCGCGACAACGTCGCTGTTTTGCCATTCCTAGAAACAAAGAACCTGGTTCAATTCATCTGTATTAATTTTGAAATTTACTAAGGCCTGCCATTTTACTTCAATTGACATGCAGGAATTGAACGAATAACGCGAAGAAGAATTTCACTATTCGAATTTTTATTTCCAATAATAAATCACTAAGGAACGCAAGAGCTTATCGCGTTGAATACAAAGTAAGTGTTTAATGAATGTTTCGTTACCACCAGACAATAGTACTCCAAAATGCACAAAATGAACGTGGACTCCACGATCTCTGTCAAGCATATCTCGCGCAAAGCGTTCTCGACATTCTTAGAAAACCTGTAACATACAAAACAAAGTCACAGACGAAATCTTGAAACCACAAAATCCTAAAATCCCACAAAACGTAGAATCAACCATGAAAAAAGCAATTTTCCGTCACCGCGACAATTCGATCACAAAACACTCCACTCAAACAGAAACCACTCCAAGACTGAAAAACCTACGAATGCAACGAACAAAACACATACAACCATAACACGCACAATCCCAAGAACGCACAAGATTTCAAAACAGATAAATCACAGAAGTCCATCAGCTCACCTTAAAATCTTCACATGATCGCGGATGATAATACTCAGCGGATGAAACCGCGCATCCTTAGCCTCAACGTCTTCCACGAGATCCTCCAATCTCAAGATCTGTATCTGTATCTGGCCGCATATATGAGTGACAAACGTAGCAGCCAAGCTGCACGCAGCAGTGGTGATGCTGTACTTGATGAATCCCGAGAAGCAATGCATGGAGAAGATGATCTCGTAAGTGGGACTGGCCTGTGAGTCGAAGAACGCGTCGTAGCCTGGATAAATCAGCGGCTTCAGTGTTTGGTTGCCCCTCATCTTCGGCTTCGAGACGAAAGGCATTATCGTGTGATAGGACATGCCGCCGGTGTAGAGGAAGACCGCGCAGAGGACGATCAGCTGGCGGCTGACGTACGACTGTCGCAGCATGATCCTGCGATGGCGTTGATCGGCGACTGTCTGCCAGTCCTTCTCCACGTGGACGATGCAACGTCTAAACGCGCTCCCCTTCAGAGCGAGGTAAAGGAACTTGACCGCCGAGGCGACGCAGAATCCGATAGGTCCGATCAGCTTCACTATGGAGTACACGTTTTTCTCCACGAAGAAGAGATAATGACACGGAGGGATGGTCGCGAACATCAGATCGGAGAAGCAAGCTACGAACAGGACGATCGAGACCAATCTTTCCGATCTGCTGGTCCTCGTGTAGACGAACGACCAGACGCCGATGGGCTTCATCACCCATCGGCACATCTCCAGAGTGTACTTCAAATCGTCCCTGTAATTGGCGTTCTCCAGGTAGTTGCCAGACCGCTCAGCTGATCGATCACGCATGATGACTACTACTCTGCACGGTGTCGACTGACGCGGCAGACACCTGCCGAACGACCTCGTCAGGACGCAAGCGTGTCTTGCTACTCGTTTTTGCCGTGTCTTGATTGCCAGAAGGGAACTTCGTGGGATCTAGCTTGGAGCAACGGGTTGTGCAGCGTTTTTTGCGCATCGTTTATTTAATGAGTGGCTGGAAAGAAAGGGTATTGTTCTGTGTAGGAGGGATGGATCGTGAATTTCATTGACAGTATGTTTGGTTCATGGCTGACGGAAATATACTGGAAGACAGTGCTGGCGAATGGAGTTGACTATTAGTGGAGAGGATGTCATGTAGTTTATAGTTGGGAAGAAACGTGTTCGTTGATGATGGATTGCGATAACAATGTATGGATGAAAGTGTGAGTATTTCAGTTTGAACCTAGTCACGGATTTGTAGATATTGGAATGAACATTGTATTTGCGATTTGAGTTGAATTCTGGCGGTGTGTAATTAACGCGGATTGTGGAGGTACATACATTGACGTCTCTGCAGTTTTAAGGAAACTTCTTTATTCATTTGAGCTATAAACGACTATTCGTGTCTAAGGTTCTTTTTTATACAACTGTTCGAAGTAAGCTTAAATAGCCCAGTGACGTTTTGAGGATCTGCAAAGACTCGCGTCAGTCACAGTCTTCGTATGGTATAATCGAGTCTGTAAAACCTTACTCACGTTTCCAAAAGTGGACAGATCTAGGACAACTAACTGACCGGCGGAGATTTTCGCTGGATTACTGGACATAGCAATGATCAGGACTAAGCCACGCATCGTCTCAGTGGGGAGTTTGTACCAATCCGTCATAAAACATAATAGTCCAACGTTACCAGTCTGTGGAGCGTAAAAAATTAGGTATGATTATTTCATATAGAATTTTGGGTGATTTCTCATTACTGCGTTAAATTCCTCATTTTATACTTAGGATGAGAATTAAAGATTAATTAAAGAAACATACATATAATGCTTCTTTTTATAAGAAATACTTATTAAAGGTCTAATGTCTGTTATTTATTGAACGTTTACATTGCACTCGAATTTCAATTTTCTATCATTTAGTAGGATTGTTAGAGGCGACGATGAACCAATCATACCGCAGCAAACAGAAGTATCAGAAATATGTTACATGTGTGATAATTCATTTGCCAGAGAATACTGATAGCGAACGTGTTAATGATGATATGTACGTGTGCATTAAAGAGAAGTGGATTAGAACGTACCTTCTCTACCAGAAGGTCGCCAATGTAGCACAGTATAAATATATTGAACATCAAAGACGTCAGTAGCATAAAATATGTAACAAAACTCAACGTGTTACTGCCCCAATCCTATCGTAGAGGTTATCAAGCGGTCAGCAAATATAAAGGAAAATTCGACAAACTGGACGCATTACTGACAAGTATATTAGTACCTACAATATGCCTCGAAAGACAACCGTCGATGAATATGCTATCGAAATTTAACAATTAAACCATTACATCGAATTAGCTGGATCCATTTCAACTCATCATGCGTTCGCTATAATTACAAACTAATATACGCAAAAATTCCACACCGAAATGTAAAGTAATTCAAATTTAATTGGATTCACAGTAGATTTTCCTCTGTTCCAGAAGAAGGTAAAAGAAATTTCAAATATTCTATATCTCCCGCATTTCTTACATTTTCCATCTGAGAATGTCGTTCGAGGCATAATTATTGGAAGCCTAAAGAGGACGAAGAACATGAGACTGAGCCCACCATTAGAATATAATATTCGAGGAGACATATCAAAAAAGTAGAACCAATGAATTCCAAGAAGCATACTTCTTGCAGAAGTGCCTCTACCATTGCCGAAAATCTGGAACGGGTGTCGTGATGTACATACTTTCGTCGCTGATTAGTCCCGAGACATACATCGAGACTATACGTGTCGTGCGTTGCTGGAAAGCTGGCACCCGGGACTTTTAACGATACAACTTTCTTACTGTTACTTCCAATGATATAACTTGTCTGATATAATACGTCTCGAAAGACGTCTGAGAAGTTAGCCGACTACCTTCAAGCTCATTGGTTCAAAAGTGAAGAGTCCTTGCTTCTTTTCCCTTCTGAACTGAATTTCGGCTTGTCTAACGTGGAACATCCATTGTAGATAGTTAAAATTGCACAAGGATAAATAGTATACACCTACTGTTCGCCACTTTTGCCATGAACCCCGTTCTGACGCCTAAAACTGCGATGGTTAAGCAAGAAATGTCGGTCCTTCCAGTAAACACAGTATCCGAGGCTCCGTTCCTCAAGATTCGATAAACATAACCCAGGACAATGATCGTAACGTCTTCCTCCATTGCATTTCCTTTCGCTTGCGTCTCCGTTGCGCGATTCGGCCAATAAGAAGAACGTACCGAAACTGAGGCGTCACTGTCGCCATAACTACCGAGCTGCGACTGGACGTCTCCCCTGCCTCTGACGAAAGAGGCCAATGATAACCTCTAAGGACACTACTAACACATTGTTTCAGTATGATAATACACAAACGACCGATTCACCTAACAAACACAGTCATGCAAAGTACGCAAGCGAAACGAAATGCCATACAGTGAGACGTAACTATAAAAAACGAGCATGAGTGTATCTCAGAGACACGAGGCCCGACATTGACAGAAATAAGATTGAGAATGATGCAATTTTAATTTAGTCGGCCAACTTCTCATCCATATAAATACTGTCCAAAGTTCACGTATCAAGAAACGCGTCCCTTCACGCCAACTAATCAGTCCCGCGTTCCTTCCAGATGCCTTCTATCTAGCAACGCGGCATACCTTAACGTTCGTATATGGTGCTCGACGATTTGTACCAGTCCCCGATTCAGATCTATCTTGTTGTTGAAATTAACAAGGTTCCCAAATCGAAGTATCATCACGTCGATCTGGCCGCAGACGTGCGTGGCGAACGTCGCTGCCAATCCGCAGGCGCCCGCCGTCATGGCACAGGTCACGTACCCGCACAGACAGTGCGCGACGTACACCAACTCGTAGACAGGACTCGCCTGCGGGTTGTACATGCCACTGTACACCGGATAAACCAGCGGTTTGACGGTGCGATTCCATTCGTCGAGGTGGGTGCCGGTGGCGTATTGCAGGATAGTGTGGTACGTGAAACCGCCGGTGTACATGAACCCCAGGCTAAGCAGCGTCAGGCTTCGACCGACGTTGCCGTACTTCAGCATTAGTTTCCGGTCTTCGAGGTGTTCCACCTGTTGTATAGTCTCCAGTTATTTTTTAGTATTCTTCTCATTTATTGCTAATCGTTCTGTTCTGTTTTTGTTTCAAGCTGATTTGAAGCTTTCGGGTGTAAGGGGTGTAAGTGTGTCAACCACTGATGAACTGCAATGATGAAACGTTGGGGTAACTGTACTGTCAGCCACGACTTACACCCGAAAGCTTTAGTTGACAGTAACTGCTCTTATTAAAATTATTCTAGTTGAAAGCGACATTATGAAAACTCGTACAATTTTTATCTTATACAAATTTCAATTGCGGGCCCAGCAACAAATAAACTTACAAACTTTATCAGATTGCGAGTAAAGAACCTATTAACAATAGCACAAATACATGTCTAATATGACATTAACGCTTTGACTTTTTAAGCAATATTTTTAAGCTCCTTCAGGCGCCTATAGTATCATAAGTTTTCTGATCGTCTTCAGGTACCAATAGTCAAAGGGTTAATTTATGTGCAACCTGTAACAAAACGTCTTCCTCCAATGAAGCCTAAGATAGCTAAAGGGTCGAACAGCTCTGCTCTAAAGCAGCATACAAACAGCATACTCTGAACAACAATGACTCGATTGACACTAGGTTTACGGAACGCGTCAATTTGACGCAGATTGAATTTTATAAACATTATTTGGTAAATGTTGTAATCGGTTTTCCTTGATCCAATTACACGAATATGAGTCCTGATTGTCTATTTCTACACCTAAAATTTCCAAAATCTAAACGAACGAGTATCAACTTTCCCAGGAACAATAGAATAAACTGTACAATAAATGCCCGTAAACCTAGTGTTAATCAAGGTCCTACCGTAGCAATAAATGATATTCACCTGTCTCCAATCATGGTCCAAGCTCTCGACGCAGTGCTTGATTCTGGGCATGCACGCGGCGAGTGCCCAGTGCTTCAGCAAAGACAGCGTGCAGAAGGTCAACAGTCCGAACGACTTCAGCTTCACCGTGATGTTCTTCTCTTCGAACGTGATGTACAAGGAAAACGGCACCAAGGTGAAGATCAGTACCAGGTCGCTGAATCCGATCAGGAACCTCGGGACTATCCTGTTGTCGCTCTCCAGGAAGATCGGCCAGATGCCGATGGACCTCAGTATCCACTTGGTGTGCTTCAAAACGCGAACGATGTCTTGCTGGTAGTGCGGGTTGCGCGGTTTCTCTATGTCCTGCTCTTTGCCGGCGACGGCGCGCATCGTGTTCACGTGCAGAACGCTCGGAAGCAACTGTTCGCCGAGAGCAACCAGGTGAAATTGATTACAGAGGGTCATCGGTCTTGCGCCGGCGTATGTCGCGTGCAGCTCGTTTTTTTAATGCACTCTCCAACTGATTCACAATCCGTGGAAAAAACGGCAGTGTGCAATTACAGAAACGACCGGCCTCCTATAGACTCGCCGATTAGTATTCACCGCGAGTCCGGGGCCGTTGGAAAGGGTTGATTATAGGTGCACAGTGTTGTTGCGCGATTGAAGGGACATGGCGTGTCGCTGTCTAGCTCCGTGTAGTGAAACACGTGTATTGAAATGACTGTAAGGTCCTTTGAATTTACGTGTTGCTCGGAACAGTGGTGAGTTGTTAGCGAACCTTTGATGAAAGCGTTTTACCGTGAAACGTATACTTCTTTGTACTTGTACCGTTCTGAGTGGCATACTAACGTTTTAACCCTTCGCGGACGAAGATTCTTGGAAATGTACAAAACCTTCGGCGGATGAAGTGAAATTATATCTCTTGCTGTTTCACTAATTAAATCATTTGTTCGCAACTTAGTCTTCCAAATGTGAACATCTGATCTCGCCGTCGTCAACATTCGTCCGCAAAGGGTTGAGAGGATGAAACGATTGATGCGAGAAAACGTGTATGTATTAGCATCGCAATGTTCTTTGAAAATATATATGTATCTCTAGATAAATATTGATCAGTAGTGATTTGAGGAAATGTTAGCTGTTGAATGAAATCTATAAAGGTTTCGTTCGGAACAGTAAAAAGTTTTCGGTCAAAGTGTAAATCGAACATCAATCGGTTGTCTTGGTTTCGTCGCCGACCACACACCACTAGCGTGTATTTCACGTCGTTTCTGTAATTGGCGTGTGCCAGACAGTCGTCAGCTTGCTTGGCTGCAACGAGACACTTTACACTGAAACGTAAGGTGGAATTTTTGGCGAGGGGTCAGCAGTGCGACGACCATGGCACATTTTTCATTTATCGAGTTGGTGGAAAAAAGGGTATCGTTCTCTGTAGGAGGAATTGGCCGTGAATTTCGTTGACAGTGCTGTTGCGTTAGATCCGATGGAAATATACTGGAGGACAATAGTGGCACCGAATGGGGTTGAACTTCAGAGGGAATAGAATATTACGTGGTATGAAACAAAAAAGAAACGTGTTCAAGCTAAATTGAAATGGTGATAGAACCAGGCTTTTACATTACAACGTAATACGTGGATGGAAATGTGAGTATTCCAGTGTGTAACTAGTTAAGGATTTGTAGATATCGAAAGAAATATTGTAGTTGCTATTTAACCAGTTAAGTGTGGAATTTAGTTTGAAAAATCTCTCATTGTGCGCGCAATAAAATCAAATAATCAAGTGTGTACTCGTTAAATGCAGGCCAAATGAACTTAAAATATATCCTAACGAAAAACTAAAGCGAATCGAAGAAGAATTACATGTTTGTCTCAAAAAATAAATAATCCATCGTTGAAAAAGTCAGCACCATTAAGAGTTTTAAGACAGTTAACTGGTTAAGTACTATGGAATTTGAAGCTTACTCTCGTCGATGAGTACTGTGAGCATCTAAACTGTTGCACCTTTGTTTTATTACTCTATATGTAGCTATAAAATTATCATTCTCCTAAATCACTGCAAGTTAAAGTAATTGTAACGATATGCAGTTAACGCAGATGATAAAGATACATATATTGACGTTCCAGGGTTTCAACGAAAACTCCATTAATTTTATGTAGAAATGAGCATTCATGTCTACGCTCCAGTTATATAACTGTTCGAAGTAAGCTTAGATAGCCCAGTGACGTTTTGAGGATCTGCAATTACTCACTTTGATTACAGTCTCTAGGTAACATAATTAAATCTGTAAAGTCTACTCACGCTTCCAAAAGTGGACAGGTTTAGAACAACTATCTGACCGGCGGAGATTTTCGCTGGGCTACTCGACCTAGCAATGATCATGATTAAGGCGCGTATCGTATCAGTGGGGAACTTGTACCAATCCATCAGGAAACACGATAATCCAACGTTAACAGTCTGTGGATTGTAGAAGGTTGAATATAATTATTATTCAGTTGTTAGAGGCAATTTTTGATTCAAAGTCTAATTTCTGTTGTGTCTGAACAGTGTAGGTGGCACGTGGATTTCAATTTTCTACACGATAAATTAATCACATCACAGTGAACAGAAATCTTCAAAAATATCTTACACGTATGACAATTCATTCGTAACGAAGTATCAATCGTAATCGTGTTAATGAAATAAAGTGAAGTGAAACGTACCTTCTCCACCAGAATGTCTCCGATGTAGCACAGTATAAATACATTGAACATGAGAGACATCAGTAGCATAATATATGTGGCAACACCGAACGCGTTGACACCCCAATCCTATCGCAGACGTTATAGACAAAATGTAAACAAAAATTCGACAGATTGAGTGAATTATTACCAAGCATATCAGTATCTACAATATGCCCCGAAAGACAATCGTTGATCCGGAATGAATACACCATTAAATTCCAATAATATCCAAAACGTTAACTTGCCTTCGCAATGCAAAGAAACTCTGATTTAAGTTCAAACAAAAGAGTAAAAAGAAAGAGGATCTCAAATATTCTATATATCTTGCATCTTTCTTTATATTTCAATGAGAAACGTCATTCGAGGCATAATCATGGAAGCCTAAAGAGAACGAAGAACATAAGACTGAGCCCACCATTAGAATATAATATTCGAGGAGACATATCATAAAAGTGGAACCAATGAATTCCACAAAGCATACTTCTTGCAGAAGCGTCTCTACCGTTGCTGAGAATCTGGAACGGGTTCGTCGCTGATCAATCTCGAAACACCTGGATGGAGGCTATTCACTCTCGCCAATCAGATCCGCATTCCTATTGGATGCCTTCATTCTAGCAACGCGGCATACCTTAACGTTCGTATATGATGCTCGACGATCTGTATCAGTCGCTGATCGCGTTCAGTCTTGTTCTCTAGATCGACGAGGTTCTTCAGTCTGAGTATCATCACGTCGATCTGGCCGCAGATATGCGAGGCGAACGTCGCTGCCAATCCACAGGCGCCCACCGTCACGGAGTAGATCACGTAGCCGCACATGCAGTGCACGGTGTACACCATTTCGTACACAGGACTCTCTTGCGGGTTGTACATCCCGCTGTACGTCGGGTAAACCAGCGGCTTGATGGTGCGGTTTCTTTCGTCGACGGACGTACCGCTAACGAACTGCAGGACAGTGTGGTACATGAATCCGCCCGAGTACATGAAACCCAGGCAAAGCATTGTCAACCTTCGACCGACGTTGCCGTACTTCAGCATCAGTTCGCGGTCCTCGTCACGTTCTACCTGTCGTATAGTTACTGTTTTTTCTCAGTTTTTCGCAGTTATTATTAATCGGAATGTTCCGAGGATTGATCCACTCTGGTACATCGTTCGTTAAATTTAAAGTAAATGGGAGATGGCGCTAATAATAAGGAATAGAAAAATGTTCGATTCGATAGGAATCTAAGAATCTAAGAATCTATGAATCTAAAGATTCTAGACTCTTAGGAAACAAGCGCGAGTTCACAAGTCTGAATTAATAACGAGACAAACAATGACAATAACGAGATGAACGACTATTTACAGGTCAATCTTGTAGTTGAACGTATATATTCAACAGTATTGTCATTATTCCAGTTAAACACATTGAATCGTCAAAGCGAAGTGGCAATGAATTACGTTACTGACCTGTTTCCAATCATTTTCCAAGTCTTCAACGCAATGCTTCAACCTCGGCTTGCACGCTGTGAGTGCCCAGTACTTCATCAGCGACACCACGCAGAAGCTTAACAGTCCAATGAGTTTCAATTTCATCGTGATGTTCTTCTCCTCGACCGTGATGTACAATGAGAACGGTATCACCGCGAAAAGCAGTATCAGATTGCAAAGTCCAATGAGGAGTTTCGCAATGATCCCGTTGCCATCCTCCAAGAAGGTCGGCCAGATGCCGATGGATCTCAGGATCCAGCTGGTGTGCTTCAGAATGTGAACAATGTCTTGCTCGTAGTGTGGATTGCGCGGTTCGTCGGTGTTCCGTCGTGGAACATTGACTGCGCGCATCGTGTTCAGATATAGGAAGCTCAGGAACGACTGTCCGTCGAGAGGAACCGTGCGGCATTGATGGCGCAAGGTCACTGAGCTTGCGCCGCTGCATGTCGCGTGCAGCCCTTTTTTTTTATTGCGGTTTCCAATTGATCGACTGCCCATTGAAAAAACGGCAACGTGCAATTATAAAAATGATCGGTCTCCTATAGAGTTGCCGATTAGGATTGTAGGGTTGCTCGAATGTAGGGCCGCGAAGAGGGCTTCATTATAGGTGCAGTGTGGTGTTGCGTGACTGCGGAGACGGAAAGTCGCGGTCCGGCTTCGTGTAGTGAAAGATTTGTATTCGAATGACTATGATGCACTTCCTTTATATTTTCGAGTTGCTCGGAACCGTGGCACAGTGAGGTTTTAATGAACTTCCGGTGAAAGTATTTTCTTGCGACGATAACGTCGAAAGATTGTTCGAAAATTAAGTTTGAAATTTGAACTGGGAAGTTTCATTGCATGAATCAAGTCATGTGAATCTTTGAATTGTTAGATTTCATTATCGACGATGCAGTTATAAATGATAAAGTCATATGTATTTCCATCGGTACTTACAAAGTTAAAGTTTGGATCATATGGTTCTTCTTGAAACTCAGCTGTGTTCATATTATTCTTAGTGAGTGATACGAACTTATGCGACGACATAAATAATTACTCGTGTTATTTTATATAAAATTGATGCATGAATTTATATAAGGAATGTTGCCTTTTGCTCCACAGGTTTAGGGAATGAAGATCGATGGCGCGAGTAGGTGACCCCAGTAAAAGAAGACACGCCCTTCGAAACCACGCAGGCGCAGCCAAACCCCTTGCACTTCCTTGCTGGTTATTGGCTCTAACGCGACACATGCGTTCTTTGTACGGATGCAATAGTAAGAAAATAAGTACTCAATATTTCGCATGTTACGTAGATTATAATTTGAGCAAAAATGAAATTGTGATAGGAATGAAACATTGTGTTTCTGTGTTGCAATGAGACACGTCGATGGAAATCTGAGTAATACAGTTAGTACTTAGATGATAGTCTATGGATATTAAAATAAATACAGTATTTGTCATTTAAGTATATTTAGATTGCTCTCTTTTTATAATACCTAAATTAACGCACATAATAAAGATACATACATTGACGTCCCAGCGTTTCAATGAAAGCTTCTTTATCCATTTGATCTACAAACCACTATTTCCGTCTTGTCTTTATCATTACACGAATGTCCGGAGTAAACTCAAATAGCCCAGTGATGTCTTGAGTATCTGCAAAGACTAATGTTAATTACAGTTTCGATGGAATATACTCAAACTGCAAAGTGCAACTCACGTTTACAAAAGTGGCCAAATTTAAAACAACTATCTGACCAGCGGAGATTTTCGCTGGATTACTTGACGTACCAATGATCATGATTAAGGCGCGTATCGTGTCAGTGGGGAACTTGTACCAATCTATCGTAAAACATGATATCCCAACGTTACTGGTCTATGGAATGTAGAAGAATGTATAATTATTTCAGATAGAACATTCCTTTAAGTCTTCTAAACGTACCTTCTCTACCAGAAGGTCACCAATGTAGCACAGTATAAATATATTGAAAATAAAAGACATCAGTAGCACGAAATATGTAACGAAGCTCAACGTGTTGCTGCCCCAATCCTGTCGTGGACGTTATCAAGCAGTGAGAAAATGTAACGGCAAATTAGAGAGATTTGATGCATTATTAACAAGCACTTACTACCTACAATATGCCTCGAAAGAAAAACACTAATTGCGACTGAATATACTATCGAATTTCAAAAATTTGTAACGTGTTAAATTGAATGAGTATTACAAAGTAATTCCGATATGGATCTACGTAGACCAAGCGACTCTGGTGTACAAGAAAAAATTATGAACAAGAACTTTCGAACATTCTATATATTTCTCTTCTTTCTTAATATTCCAGTGAAGAATATCGTTCGAGGCATAGTCATGGAAGCCCAAAAAGGACGAAGAACATGAGACTGAGCCCACCATTAGAATATAATATTCGACCAGACATATCAAAAAAATGGAACCAATGAATTCCAAGAAGCATACTTCTTGCAGAAGCGTCTCTACCGTTGCCGAGAATCTGGAACGGGTTCGTCGCTGATCAGTCCCAAAACACCTGGATGAAGGCTATGCGTATCATACGTTGATGGAAGGATGGCACCCGAGACAGCGTAGCGTTTATTCTTAACTTTATCGAGTTGTCCTTAGACGCAGTGACGTTTGCTCATTTGGGAACGTTTATGAAACTTAACATTCGTTCGATTGATACGTGAACATAGTGTTAATTATCGTCTAACTGCATCGACAAAGATTAAAATACACCTCTGAGAAGGTAGTCCACTACCCCAAAGCTGAAACTGCACAAGGACAAAAGACATCTCACTTAAACCTCTCTAACAAAATTTTCATTTTGACAGACTCTATTGTCTCAGAATGGTACAAATTGACATGTAACGATAGGGAACGATCATTTTTAAATCTAAAAGACACGGAGGTCTAACTTCCGGTGAGATAACATGGAGCAAGCGTATTCCCTTTGCCTCTGTGGATTTTCAGCTTCTGGGTAGTTGGCCAACACCTCAGAGTGCTACTATGGAACTGTACTTTACATTGTCCAAAATGCGTACGAGTAGAGGCTTGCCTCCATTCACTCTCAATCAGACCCGCATTCCCATCGGGTGCCTTCTTTCTAGCAACGCGGCGTACCTTATCGTTCGTATATGTTGCTCGACGATCTGTATCATTCGTCGATCGAGTTCAGTCTTGTTCTTGAGATCGACGAGGTTGTTCAATCTGAACATCATCACGTCGATCTGGCCGCAGACGTGCGTGGCGAACATCGCGGCCAGTCCGCAGGCGCCAGCGGTCACGCTATAAGACACGTACCCGCACATCAGGTGCGAAGCGTACACCATTTCGTACATAGGACTCTCTTGCGGGTTGTACATTCCACTGTACGTTGGGTAAATCAGCGGCTTGACGGTGCGATTCCTTTCGTCGACGTACCCACCGGTAACGAGCTGCAGGACAGCGTCGTACATGAAACCGCCGGTGTACATGAACCCCATGCAATGCAACGTCAGGCTTCGACCGAAGTTGCCGTACTTCAGCATCAGTTCGCGGTCCTTGTGGTGTTCCACCTGTGGTGTCGTTCCTACGTATTATCCTCAATTTTCCTCATTTACTCGCAGAACGCAACGTTTCGAGATTATATGCATGCTGTTGGATCGTTCGATCGCGCACCCCTTTCTATTCTATCAAAACCTTCCTTTCCCAATTAACTAATATTCTATAAACTGTACAATAAGTGTTGGTAGGTAAAGTGTCAAAATTTGATCTTTTCTGAAGCTTTTAAAGATTATCGAAGTATTCGAACCATGGGTAATTAGAAGAAATTTAAGTAGTGAAGTGTGAGATTAAAATGATGACTCTTCCGAGTGACACTTGCTTCGAATTTAAATTATAACGCCAGTAAACTGGAAATTAAGTGAACAATCGCAGATCATAAACAGATTTATTTTATGAAAATAAACGGAAAATACGGTTGAAAATCTCTACCGGGTGCAGGGCGAGTCAACTGCGTTTACAGGTCTGCCTTCTGCTTCAATATTTTCAAACCAGTTTCTTACCATTGTCTCGATTGAATATACCAAATCGTCAAACATAAGTAGTATGAAATTATGTTACTGACCTCTTTCCAATCATTTTCCAAACTCACAACGCAGTGCTTGATTCTGTGCTTGCACGCGGCTAATGCCCAGTACTTCATCAGCGACACCACGCAGAAGATTAACGGTCCGAGGAGGTGTAACCTTACCGTGGTGTCCTTCTCCTCCAGCGTGATGTGCAAAGACAACGGTACCACCGCGAAACACAGTGACAGGCTGCAGGCTCCGATCAGAAAACCCGGCAATATCATGTTGCCATTCTCCAAGAAGGTCGGCCAGATGCCGATGGATCTCAGGATCCACTTGGTATGCTTCAAAACGTGAACTATGTCTTGCTCGTAATAAGGGTTGCGCGGTTTTTCTGTCTTCTGTTCTAGAGCGGAGAGCGCGCGCATCGTGTTCACGTGCAGGAAGCCTGGCAGCGACTGCTCGCCAGGAGGATCCAGGCGAAATTGATTGTACAGGGTCACTGAGCCTGCGCAGATACATGTCGCCTGCAGCTCTTTTTATTATTGCAGCTTCCAATTGATCGACAGTGCATTGAAAAAACAGACATGAAATTGCAGAAATGAACGGTCTGCTATAGAGTCGTTCGTTAGTATTCACCGCAGTTGTAAAGTTGTAAAGAGGGGTTGATCATGGGTGCAGAGTCTTGTTGCGTGATTGCAGAGACGAGAACTGTTGCTGCTTAGCTTACTGAAGTAAAACATGTGCATTCGGATGACTGCCGAGTGCTGTGATAAGTTGAGCTTTTATTCAACCTTTGATGAAAGCATTTTAGTGAAATTTATACTTGCTTATACTTGTACTTTGCTCAGTCGAACAATAAAATTCTGACGAATCTTTTCCACGTTGGTGCAGGTGAAAGTATGAAAGTAGTGTGCACTTTCATCGGCACTTGCGAAGGTAACATTTCGACTATATGCTTCTTTCTCTTAATTCTTTAATACTGAACTGCTTACATATTGTTCCTAGTAAGTGATACGAATCTGCGACTATGTAAATATCTACATCCATCATTTGTGATCTACGAATTTATTTTGTATAAATTGATGTATTAATTTACATAAATAACATAGCCTTTTCCTGCACAGATTTGGGAGACGAAAGTCGATGGTACAAGTGGATGACTCTAGTAATAGAGGACACGCCCACTGACACGACGCAGGCGCGGCCCAACCCCTCGCACTGCCTTCCTGGTTATTGGCTCTAACTCGACACATGCGTCGTTTGTACGGATGCAACAGTAAGAACATAAGTATTCACTATTTTGTATGTTCGCGTATGATCACCACGTTTGCAGTATTTCCGACCTTTTTAACTACCATTCTAGTGGTTAATTCTTTTGATTTAAGAAATTTAGCCTACGAGACAGTATTGCCGTTCTTTTCGTTCTTATATGAATATGCTTTTAGTATCCACATGTAGAGTCTACGGAAAATACAGGAGGATACTATTAATAGGAAACGGCGTTGAGCTGCAACGATAGGATGTTGCGTAGATTATAGTTTGTGCATAAATGAAATTATAATAGGAATAGAGTATTGTGATTATGAGTTGCAGTGAAACACGTCGATGGAAATATGCGTATTGCAGATAGTAATTAGTTGATAATCTATGGGTATGAAAATGAATATATTATTTGTGAATTAAATATATTTGGATTGATCTCTTTTTATAATACGTAATTAGCGCACGTAATAAAGATACATACATTGACTTCCCAAGGTTTCAATGAAAACTTCTTTAACCATTTACTCTATAAGCCACTATTTCCGTCTTATGTTTCCTGTTACGCGACTGTCCGGAGTAAGCTTAGATAACCCAGTGACGTTTTGAGAATCTGTAACCACTAACGTTAATTGCAGTTTCTTTATAATATAAACTATACTCTAAACTGTGACTCACATTTACAAAAGTGGCCAAGTTTAAAACAATTATTTGACCAGCGGAGATTTTCGCTGGATTACTTGACGTACCGATGATCATGATTAATGCCCGTATCGTATCAGTGGGGAATTTGTACCAATCCATCATAAAACATGATATCCCAACGTTACCAGTCTGCGGAATGTAGAAGAATGTATAATTATTTCAAGCAGCATTTTCATTCCTTTGAGTATTCATTGCTGCATTAATTTCAAAATTTTCTAAACGCACCTTTTCTACCAGAAGATCACCAATGTAGCACAGTATAAATATATTGAACATCAGTGATATCAGTAGCGCAAAATATGTAACGAAGCTCAACGTATTGCTACCCCAATCCTGTCGTGGACGTTATCAAGCGGTGAGAAAAAGTAACGGCAAATTAGAGAGATTTGATTGATTATTAACAAGCATTTACTGCCTAAAATATGCCTCGAATGAAAAACACTAATTGCGACTGAATATAGTATTAAATTTCAAAAATCTGTAAAGTGTTAAATTGAATGAGTATTGCAAAATAATTCTGATTGGGGTCTATGCAAACCGGGAGTCTCTGGCATTCGAGACGAAGTTATAAAAAGAAATTTCAAATATTCTATATATTTCTCTTCTTTCTCAATATTCCAGTGAAGAATGTCATTCGAGGCATAATCATGGAAGCCCAAAAAGGACGAAGAACATAAGACTGAGCCCACCATCAGAATATAATATTCGAGGAGACACATCAAAAAAATGGAACCAACGAATTCCAAGAAGCATACTTCTTGCAGAAGCGTCTCTACCGTTGCTGAGAATCTGGAACGGGTTCGTCGCTGATCAGTCCCGGAACAGCTGAACGGAGACTATTCACTCTCGCCAATCAGACGAGCATCCCTATAAGGAGCCTCCATACTAGCAACACGGCATACCTTAAGGTTCGAATATGATGCTCGACGATCTGTATCATTCGCCGATCAATTTCGCCCTTGTTCTTCAGATCGACGAGGTTGTTCAATCTGTGCATCATCACGTCGATCTGGCCGCAGACGTGTGTGGCGAACGTCGCGGCCAATCCGCAGGCCCCTGCGGTCACGGTGTAGGCTACATACCCACACATCAGGTGCGAAGCGTACACCATTTCGTACACAGGACTCTCTTGGGAGTTGTAGATCCCGCTGTACGTTGGATAAATCATCGGCTTGATGGTGCGATTCCTTTCATCAACGTGCGAACCGCTGGCGATCTGCAGGACAGCATGGTACATGAAGCCACCAGTGTACATGAACCCCATGCAATGCAACGTCAGACTTCGACCGATGTTGCCGTACTTCAGCATCAGTTCGCGGTCCTCATGGTGTTTCACCTGCGGTGTCGTTCCTAGGTATTATCCTCAGTTTTTCTCATTTACTCGCAGAACGTGACGTTTCAAGATTATATGCATGCTGTTGGATGGTTCGAACGCACACCTTTCTATTCGATCAAAACCTTCCCTTCTCAATTAAATAATATTCTATAGACTGTTCAATAAATGTTGGTGGACAAAGTTTCAATACTCCTTCTCTGCTGACGCTTTTAAAGATTATTAGAGTATTCTCACTGTGGGTAACCAGAAGAAATTGAAATATTGAAGTATCAGATTAATGCACTTGTCGACAGTGCAGAATCGTTAAGATGATAACTCTACCTAGTTATTATTATTATCACTATTATCTTTCTTACCATCGTCTCCGTTGAACAACAAATCGTGAAACATAAGTAATATGAATCTGTGTTACTCACCTGTTTCCAATCATTTTCCAATCTCTCAACGCAGTGCTTGATTCTCGGCTTGCACGCGGCCAATGCCCAGTACTTCATCAGCGACACCACGCTGAATATTAACGGTCCGCAAAGGTGCAATCTTACCGTGGTGTTCTTCTCCTCCAGCGTGATGTGCAAAGACAGCGGTATCAGTGCATAAAGCAGTAACAGGTTGCAAAGTCCGATTAGGAAACTCGGCAGTATCCTTCTGCGACTGGTTAAGAAGGTCGGCCAGATGCCGATGGATCTCAGGATCCATCTGGGGTGCCTCAAAACGTGAACTATGTCTTGTTCGTAGAAAGGGTTGCGCGGTTTCCTTGAGCTGTGCTCTTGAACAATGAGAGTGCGCATCGTGCTCACGTGCAGAACGCTTCGGAGCGACTGGTCGCCAAGAGGAACCAGACACAATTGATTGTGCATAGTCACTGAGTTTGCGCAGTTTAATGTCGCGTGCATCCCTTTTTTCCGTTGCAGTTTCCAATTGATCGACAGTGTATTGAAAAAACGGAAACATGAAGTTGCAGAAATGAACGGTCTCCTGTAGAGTCGTTCGTTAGTATTCACCGCAGTTGTAAAGTTGTAAAGAGGGGTTGATCATGGGTGCAGTGTAGTGTTGCGTGATTGCAGAGACAAGAAGTGTCGCTGTCTAGCTTGTTGAAGTGAAACGTGTGTACTCGGATGACTGTGTAGCGCTACAAATTTTTATGTTGATCGGAGCCGTGATAAGTTGAGCTTTTGTTGAACTTTTGGTGAAAGCGTGTTAGCGAAATTTATACTCGTTTATACTTGGGCTTTCCACAGTGAAACGTTAAAATAAATAAATCGATAAAACAATAAAATAAATAAATAAATAAATCTTTTCCACGTTGGTGCAGGTAAAAATGACGTATGTCTTTTCTTCGGCACTTGCAAAGTTAACATTTGGACTATACGCTTCTTTCTCCTAACTCTTTGATACTGAACAGCTTACATATTGTTCTGAGCAAGTGACACGAACCTATGCGGCCATATAAATATTTAGTTTGCCATTTGTGATCTACTAATGTATTTTATATAAAATTGGAATATTAATTTACATAAGGAATGTTGCCTTTTGCTCCACAGATTTAGGGAGTGAAGATCGATGGTCAAGGGGATGACTCTAGTAATAGAGGACACACCCACTGACACCACGCAGGCGCGGCCAAACCCCTTGCATTGCCTTGCTGGTTATTGGATCTAACGTGACATTGGATCAACACGCATTGCATCTAATAGTAAGAAAATAAGTATTTACTATTTCGCATGTTTCGTAGATTATAGTTTGAGCAAAAATGAGATTGTAATAGGAACGGAATATTGTGTTTATGTGTTGCAATGAAATACGTCGATGGAAATGTATTATAGTTAGTAATTAGTTGACAATCTATGGGTATGGAAATGAACATAGTATTTGTGATTTAAATATATTTACATTAATCTCTTTTTATAATACGTAATTACCGCACATAATAAAGATACATACATTGACGTTCCAGCGTTTCAATGAAATCTTCTTTATCCATTTGATCTACAAACCTCTATCTCCATCTTATCTTTCTCGTCACACCAATGTCCGGAGTAAGCTTAAATAGCCCAGTGACGTTTTGAGAATCTGCAAAGACCAATATCAATTACGGTTTGCGTATAATAGACTCAAATCTATAAAATATTACTCACGTTTCCAAAAGTGGATAAGTTTAGAACAACTATCTGACCGGCAGAAATTTTCGCTGGACAACTTGACATACCAATAATCATGATTAAGGCGCGTATCGTGTCAGTGGGGAACTTATACCAATCGGTCATAAAACACGATAACCCAACGTCACTGGTCTGTGAAATGTAGAACAATATATAAATGTGTGAAACAGAATTTCCATTCCTTTAAGTTTTCTAAACGTACCTTCTCTACCAGAAGGTCCCCAATGTAGCACAGTATAAATATATTGAACATCAAAGACATCAGCAGCGCAAAATACGTAACGAAGCTCCAGGTGTTGCTACCCCAATCCTGTCATGAACGTTATCAAGTAGTGAGGAAAGGTAACGGAAAAAAAGACAGATTGAATGCATTGTTAACTAGCATGTACTACCTACAATATGCCTCGAAAGACAACCACTGATTGTGACTGAATATGCTATTAAATTTCAAAAGTCTGTAAATCGTTAAATTGAACGAGTATTGCAAAATAATTCTAATTAGGGTCTATACAGACCAAGAGTCTCTGGCGTTCGAGACGAAGTTACAAAAAGAAATTTCAAATATTCTATATATTTCGCTTCTGTCTCACTATTCCAGTGAAGAATGTCGCTCGAGGCATAATCATGGAAGCCCAAGAAGGACGAAGAATATGAGACTGAGCCCACCGTTAGAATATAATATTCGAGGAGACATATCAAAAAAATGGAACCAACGAATTCCAAGAAGCATACTTCTTGCAGGAGCGTCTCTACTGTTGCTGAGAATCTGGAACGGGTTCGTCGCTGATCAGTCCCGAAACACCTGGATGGAGGCTATTCACTCTCGCCAATCAGATCCGCATTCCTATTGGATGCCTTCATTCTAGCAACGCGGCATACCTTAACGTTCGTATATGATGCTCGACGATCTGTATCAGTCGCTGATCGCGTTCAGTCTTGTTCTCTAGATCGACGAGGTTCTTCAGTCTGAGTATCATCACGTCGATCTGGCCGCAGATATGCGAGGCGAACGTCGCTGCCAATCCACAGGCGCCCACCGTCACGGAGTAGATCACGTAGCCGCACATGCAGTGCACGGTGTACACCATTTCGTACACAGGACTCTCTTGCGGGTTGTACATCCCGCTGTACGTCGGGTAAACCAGCGGCTTGATGGTGCGGTTCCTTTCGTCGACGGACGTCCCGCCAGCGAACTGCAGGACAGTGTGGTACATGAAACCGCCAGTGTACATGAACACCAGGCTAAGCAACGTCAGACTTCGGCCGACGTTGCTGTACTTCAGCATCAGTTCGCGGTCCTCGTGGTGCTTCACCTGCCGAATCGTTACTAATTGTTTCTAATTTTTCTCGTTTAGTTACGGAGCACGTATTTCTAGGCTTGTCCACTCTGTTGCATCGTTCGTTACATTTCTAATATATCACTTGTAAATAGGAGATTGAGTTGACAATTTAAAATAGAAAAATTTGCACATGATCGTGAATGGGTTCATTCATCCGACGAACATATATAAATTTCCAAGTGTGTTGTTCAATTTGATGAAAATAAATGAAAGATACAATTTACAATTTCTACCAGTTTACAGGTCCATATATATATTCAGCCTTGTTATCGTCATTTCACTTGAACACGTTAAATCTCCAAACTGAAGTAGTAATAACTTATGTTACTGACCTCTTTCCAATCGTTCTCCAAGTTCTCCACGCAGTCCTTGATTCTCGGCATGCACGCGGCAAGTGCCCAGTGTTTCAGCAAGGACAGAGTGCAGAAGGTTAACAGCCCCAAGAGCTTCAGCTTCATCGTGATATCCTTCTCTTCGAACGTGACGTACAAGGAAAACGGCACCACCGTGAAGAGCAATACCAGATCGCTGAATCCGATCAGGAATCTCGGAAATATCCTGTTGTCACTCTCCAACAGTATCGGCCAGATACCGATGGACCTCAGGATCCACCTGGGGTGCTTCAAAACGTGACCTATGTCTTGCTCGTAGTAAGGGTTGCGCGGTTTCTCTGTAATCTGCGCTCGAACAACGGGAGTGCGCATCGTGTTCACGTGCAGGAAGCTTGGAAGCGACTGGTCGCCAAGAGGAACCAGGCGGAATTGATTGTGCAGGGTCACTGAGTTTGCGCAGATGCATGTCGCGTGCATCCCTTTTTTTTATTGCAATTTCCAATTGATCCACGGTGGATTGAAAAAACATACATGAAATTGTAGAAATGAACGGTCTTCTGTAGGGTCGTTCGTTAGTATTCACCGCGGTTGTGAAGTTGTAAAGAGGGGTTTATCATGTGTGCAGAGTAGTGTTGCGTGATTGCAGAGACGAGAAGTGTCGCTGTTTAGCTTCGCGAAGTAAAACATATGTACTCGAATGACTGTGCAGTGCTGTGTTAATCTGAGCTTTTCCTGAATTTTTGAAGAAAGCATTTGAGTGAAACGTTAAAATTCTGATGAGTGAAAGGAAACGTTTTCGTATGAAATGAAATTGTGTTAGCGAATTGCAATGTGCTGGCGAAAAGTCTTTCGGTAAGTAATGTTCAGTAAGTGAACTATTTATGCATAGAAAAATAAATATAGTAATTGTGAGTTAAATATATTTACACTGTCCTCTGTTCGATCCACTCCGAGATAAAATAATTGTAGTAACACGTAATTAACGCTGATAATAAACATATATACATCGACGTCCGAGTGTGTCAATGAAAAGTTCGTTATTCATTTGATCTACAAACGACTATGTCTCAGTTTTCTCGTTACACAACTGTCCGGAGTAAGCTTAGATAAGCGAGTGACGTCTTGACGACCTGCAAAGACTCGAGTCATTTGTAATCCTCGGATAATGTAACTAAGGGTGTAGGGTTTTACTCACGTTGCCAAACGTGGACAAGTCTAAAACAGCTATCTGACCGGCGGAGATTTTCGCTGGACTACTTGACATAGCAATGATCAGGATTAAGGCGCGTATCGTGTCAGTGGGGAACTTGTACCAATCCATCATAAAACACGATAGTCCAACGTTACTGGTCTGTGGAATGTAGCAGATTACGTACAATTATGTCACATAAAATTTTGATGTCTCTATGTTTTCATTACTGGGTGAAATTCAAGATTTCTTAAAGAAATGCACAATGCTTCTTTTTATAAAAAATTCTTAATAGGAACTGTAATTTCTATTATTTATTAAGAATTCATTTTGCACTGAGTATTCAATTTTCTGCCACAAAATCGCATCGCTAAAGGGCATGATAAACCCATCGTATCGCAGCAAACGAAGGTGTCAAAAATGTGTTGCAAGTGTGACAATTCGTTTGCGAGAAAATACCAATAGCGTCCGTGATAATAATTATACGTACGTATGCACACAATAAAAGTAGAACGTACCTTCTCTATCAGAAGGTCGCCAACGTAGCACAGAATAAATACATTGAACAACAAAGACACCAGTAGCGTAAAATATGTAACAAAAGTCAAGGTGTTGGTGCCCCAATCCTATCGTAGAGGTTATCAAGTGGTAAGAAAATTTGCGAGGAGATTCGACATACTGGATGCATTAGTAACAAGCGTATTAGTACCTACAATATGCCTCGAAAGACAATTCTCGATTCGAGATGAAAATATACTATAAAAATTAGTAACTTCTAAAGCATTCAATTGAAATTGGGTCCATCTCGACTCACTATGCGTTCGCCACAATTCTAAATGAATACAAGAAAAATTCCCTCGCCGATATGCAAATTATTTCAAATTTCAATGAATTCTGAGTAGATTCTGTTCGCGACGAAGAAAGAAAAAAGAAATCTCTATATCTCTTTCTTTTCATTTTTCAGTTGAAAACGTCGTTCGAGGCATTATCATTAGGAGCCTAAAGAGAGCGAAGAACATGAGACTGAGCCCACCATTAGAATATAATATTCGAGGAGACATATCAAAAAAGTGGAACCAATGAATTCCATGAGGCATACTTCTTGCAGAAGTGTCTCTACCGTTGCCGAGAATCTGGAACGGGTTCGTCTCCGATCAGTCCCGGAACACGTGGATCGAGGCTATGCGTACCGTGCGTTGATGAAAGAATGGCACCTGAGACGGCATACGGGCAAGAAGTATTTATCTATGTATCTATCATATAACTGCGCTGACAGACAGTAAACTACGCCTCTGAAAAGTTAGCCGACTACCTACAAGGTACAACTTCATAAGTCTATGTACAAAAGGGACGCCATTCTACTTCGGTGTCGTAACAATTGCTTTAGAGTAACAGAGAAACAAAGTCCTCTGTCTGACAAAAAACGGATAAAGAACTTTACGTCAATGTTCTTCCAAAATCACACAGCGTCGCACGACACAGTAATGATAACACGATATAAGGATAAAAGGATCCACCTATTCTACTCTGAGAAGACTGCCAATGCACAATAGCCTCCTATTGACCCTCAATTCTCTTCATGCGTCAATGATCATGCATCGAAAGCCGAAAAGTCTCTCGTCTCATCACTCTTGAACATCGACCTGGCTAACATGGGACGTCCACAGTAGTACAATAGAATATTCATTTCAAAAGTTTCTCCTTATTGACCGAAAATATTACAAAATCATGATGCAACGATATCGCTAAACCCCAGAGATGTAATGATCCAACTTCAGTAGCAATGATCAAACTAATCCTCTATCTCGGTGCACTCAACTCGTGGGTAGTTGGTCTAGCTTAAGAGACATTATAGAACTGTACTTTATATCACTGTCCAAAATGCATATAATTTGCCTCATTTCACTTCAGCTAATTAGACCCGCATTCCTATCAGGTGCCTTCTTTCCAGCCAACGCGGCATACCTTAACGTTCGTATATGATGCTCGACGATCTGTATCAGTCGTTGATCGAGTTCCGTCTTGTTCTCGAGTTCGACGAGGTGCTCCAATCTGAGCATCATCACGTCGATCTGGCCGCAGACGTGCGAGGCGAACGTCGTGGCCAATCCGCAGACGCCTAGCGCCACGGAATAGATCAGGTAGCCGCAAACGACGTGCGTGGCGAACACGATTTCGTACACGGGACTCCTCTGCGGGTTGTACAGCGCGCTGTACACAGGATAACTGAGCGGCTTGATCGTGCGGTTCTGTTCGTCGACGTAGGAACCGGCCGCGAATTGCACTATGGTGTGGTACATGAAGCCGCCCGAGTACATGAACACCAGGCAAAGCAGGATCACACTTCGGCCGGCGTTGCCGTACTTCAGCATCAGTTGGCGGTCCTCCTGGTGTTCCACCTGTGAATTCTAACACGAGTAAGTGGATCGAACTGACAGTGAAAAATAGAGTTCGATGGAAATAAATGTATGTGAATTTCTACCAGGCTGTACGCACTGAGATATGTACATTGAAATTTCGTCTCACTTAAACACGTTAGATCATCAAGCCGAGCTACTAACGAACTACGCGACTGACCTCTTTCCAATCATTCTCCAAGCTCTCCAGGCAGTCCTTCAGCCTCGGCTTGCACGCCGCGAGTGTCCAGTACTTCATCAGCGACACCACGCAGAAGCTTAGCAGGCCGATGAGCTTCAGCTTCATCGTGATGTCCTCCTCCTCGATCGTAATGTACAGATAGAACGGCACCACCGAGAAAAACATTATCAGATTGCAGAGCCCGATCAGAAGTATCGGGAATATCCGGCTGTCGTTCTCTAAGAAGCTCGGCCAGATACCGATGGATCTCAGGATCCATCTGGGATGTTTCAACACGAGAATGATGTCTTGCTCGTAGTACGGATTCCGCGGTCTGTCTGTGTCCCGACCACGGACGTCGACGGTGCGCATCGTGTTCGCGTGCAGGGAGCTTGGAAGCGACTGTTGACCGAGAGGAACCAGGTGGAATTGATCGCACAGGGTCGCTGAGTTTGCGCCGCTGCATGTCTCGCGCAACCCTTTTTTATACTGCAGTTTCTAATTCATCCGGTGTCCATCGAAAAAACGGCAACGTGAAATTACAGAAATGACCGGTCTCCTATAGACTAGCTGGGTAGCATTCACCGCGAGTGTGGGACGATTAGAAAGGGTTGACTATAGGTGCATAGTGTTGTGCGATTGCAGAGACCTGTCGCTGTTCAGCTTCGTGCAGTAGAAGGTGTGTATTGAAAGGAATATGAAGCGATGTTGTTAGGAATAGTAATAAATAGAGCTTCTGTTAAACATTTTAAATAACATAACATAACGTAACATAATAGCATTTTCTCGTAAAATGTATACTTGCTTATATGTGTACTGTTCAAACGCAGCTCACTTTGGCTGTCAACGGGAATCTCTGTACTTTAGAGATTAGTAATTAAAGTATTGTTCAAAAGAATGGGTATTGTTCTCTATAGGAAGATGGTTCGTGAATTTCGTTGAATTTCGGCTGTTCGGTTATCTTAGGGTTCATGGAAATATACTGGAGGAGTGTTGGCAGACGTTAGGAAGACAAAAATATTTCTATACTCAAGTTCAATTGTAATAAGAATGTGTTCGTTATGACAGTGGTATCTTGGTAGTGTGATGAGTTTAATATATTTCGTGAATAATGGATCATTTCTAAGAAAATTAATTTCATCGTTCAAAAAGTGGGCTAGTGGAATTATAGGGTTATATTAGGTACTTCGTCCTGCGGAAGTTTATGTGAATCGTTCTTTGTATCTATTAAGAATGTAAAAAATTATAGAAAACTGTGCCGCAAGAAGTATCACGTTGCACATTTCACCACGTTCAACAGTGTTACAGATATATCTGCTTTATTTTTTTTTAAGAACAATCTACTGAACTAACAACTAGTTTGCTTCAAGCACTACATTATTGATATAGAGAGATAGTGTTTAGACTTTTTTTTAATAAATAGCGTCACGCAATGATTGTCTTCAATCTTTAATTTCTTAATGGGTGACGCCATTTAGAGACGTCCTAAATATAGGTAAATTTGTAACATTCAACATCCATTGTTGGATTTGATTGCAAACAACTGACACATCCGAAGAAACATTTTTGTGAATTTATATTTTCGCTAATAATTATTACAAATTCCTCCAATTTACCTATGTTTAGGACGTCTCTGAATGGTGTTCCCCATTAAACCACGTGGTCCAAATATGGGCTACCGAGCTAGCTGTAGATGTGTCTGATGCTTAGATGTTGAAAATAAAATATACATTCGTCTCTACAGTAAATAAACAACTAAAATTTAAGTCTCGTTTCACTAATAGTTCAAACACTCGTTAAAAACATTTCACTATGAAAACCTACAACCTTTACTTTCACGTTAGCATACTGCAGACCCCTATTAGGACCACACTTCCGAAACCGAACATTTGCACTTCATTTCAAACGTCATTAAATTAAACATAAACATTACTTCTATTCTGCATGAACTCGGCACCATAAAACATGCATGTTACAGATACACATTGATACATTTCAGAGATACTCAACAAACTCGACGGTAATTTTTCAAATAAAACTACTAGCACAGATCTGGATCTTCTCTATACGGTCACAGTAGCAACGTGACGGATGAATGACGTGTTAATACGCAGTCACTGTCCGCAGTATGTTCAAGTAAACTACAGACGATTTCAAGATCTGTAAATTTCAAACACGTGTATCGCCCACTGCAAGTATGGTGCGTCACGTTCAGAAGAATTAGGCAAGTACTTACGACGCTGAACGTGTTCAAAGACAGTACGGTTACTTTACCGCCAGCGAGTGTGGGCGGGTAGAGCGATATGGCGTTGACTAGTATAAAATTGCATGCCCTCTTCGGTGGTAAGTTGTACCAGCTGACTTCGTAGCAAACGAGACCGATCTGCGAACACTGGTGGTGTTTCAATTAGCCCTTTGAATGCCGTGGACGCACATACGCGTCTAGCGAGAGTCATCGCTGAGAACTGTGGGCGCATGTGTTTCTCGATCATTTCAATCTCGTACGTGCCGTGGTGATAATTATAAGTGTATGTGATTAATATACGTGTTTCTTAGCGTTATTCGATCTGGTGAAACTGAGGAATTACAATTACAATTTAATTACAATTTAACACTTTGACTGCCACGTCACCCGAATTCGGGTGACATTTCTTACAGAAACTTGGACATTAATTTTTTTGATGACGTACCGAACAAACCGAATTTTATTGGATACATGAGATATAAGGAAGATGGTGGAACGATTATTAAGAAGAATTTTAATTTCTCAGTTTCTGGTTAATGAAAAAAACTGTTTCGAGTAGATGGTAGTTTTCATCGGTGTTTACGTGGCAGACAAACTTAATTAATCGTATGAGTTAACATAATTCGTTGATCATCAGATGAGCAGAAAAATATTTAATAACTTCTGGTGTGAACTATAGATACTTTATTGTATCATTTTTAGTGAAATATGTGAACGAAATAAATGAGACAAATTTACGAGAGTGAGTATTGAATATTATTGATTAGTAAATATTGTTATTACTGCATTAGGAAAATATATTTTCTCGTTCAATGTTTAATACAGTACTATTTGAACGATAATGGACTTTATCATTTTCAGTGAAATATGCATATGAAATCTAAAATCGATAAAATTGACGGGATCCGTAAGTATTAAATATTATTGATAAATAAACATTGCTATTAATGTATTAGGAAATATATTTTCTCGTTCAATGTTTAATATAGTGATTGGTAATAAGAGCAAGGTTCAATACCTGTTCAGTGAGGATTTCGCCTATATAACAAAAGATCAACGCGGTGAAAATAAAGGAAATCAAGTAAACAATATAGGTGGTAATTCCTATAGCATTGTTATCAATCCATTCCTGGAATCAGGCGATGTTAAAAGATATTTGCAATACAAAAAGAAAAGTAAACCTTTTCAATCGAACGTGAATATTTACCCTGAGGAACAAGTATTCAGCTAGGCACATGATGAGCGTGCCGCCAATGATCTCTATCAGAATAATCTCGCTCAGGCCATCCCCCATTTTCTTGGCAAACCTGAAATATATATTATCAATGAAATTCTCGTGTTCACATTTCATTAACCGAATGAAAAGACCTATTCACATTATTCCCAACACGCAAATATTCGGTCGTCCCATAAGCTCGCCCATTTATCTACCATATAAATTAATATCATACAAAATTCTCATAACTGCATCTGCTGACTAAACTGAAGCACAAACGACACCCAAAACCTCGTATCTCCCCATAATTCCAAAACAGAACACTATAAACACTGAATTACGAGCTCACGAGACAACCCAACACAAAATCATCAACGCATCACAAGCGGTGACAGCAGCAGCAACAATTAAAATCAAAACAACACGATTACGATACCAATATCCAGACACAACTGTCAACGCTCCGAATCGAGGTAACGATCACTCGACCTTAATATCTCCGCGTGACCCCGAATAATATCACCCAGAGGGTCGTAACCGGTGTCCTTCCCGATTCCGCAATTAAATTCCTCCAGCCGCGATATCTGTATCTGCATCTGTCCGCAGACGTGCGTCACGAAGACCACGACCAAGCTAAAAGTCGCCGTGGTCACGGTGTGCCTGACGAACCCCGCGAAACACTGAGCGAGATAGATGAGCTCGTAGACCGGACTGGCCTGCACGTCGAAGAATCGGTCGTAACTCGGGTACACGAGCGGTTTCAGGGTGACGTTCCCTACCACCCGTCGCCTGGACCACGGCATCATCACGTGGAACGATATGCAGCTGGAATAAATGAAAACGATGCACAGCATGACGAGGCTCCGGCTGAAAGTCGCCTGCTTCAGCATGATGGCCCTGTGATGCCGGTCCTTCACGATCCTCCAGTCGTTCTCCATGTGCCGCATGCAACGCGCGAAAGTCTTTCTCCTGAGGACCAGGCAGAGGTACTTGATCACGGACAGCGAGCAGTTGGTCGCCGTGCCCAGCAGCTGCATCTTGATCTTTCCGGTTATGTCGTCGAGGACCAGGCGGCAGACGAGGGGCACCATGATGTACACCATGCTGGAGAAGCCGGCGATCAGCAACAGGATCGAGAGCGCTTTCTCCTTCCTGTTCGCGTGGCTGTATATCAGCGACCAGATTCCGAGCGGTTTCAACAGCCAGCGACACATCTCCAGAGCGTAATCTAGGCCGTCATCCTGATCGGCGAGCTTTGCGACCTGGTCGCGCGATCGCTCGTGCATGTTGTCCACTCGGTGGCACGCTGACGACTGATCGGCGACTTCCAGCGTTAAGGGACGATTTTCCCAGAACGCAAGCGCGGTTGTGCATCGTCGATTCGCGTGCACTCGGTGCATCGAAAGGGGAAAACGATAATTGTTCTCGATTTTATATGGACGTCGCGTGATCAGGACGGATCGAAGGATTCTGGGTATAGACTTGGGTCGCGGAGATTACTTTCGCTGGACAGATATGTTGCACTGTCGGTGCTGACTTAACCCTTTGCACTCGGACGTTTCTCGCTAGAAATATTTGAACATTTTCTGACGAGGTGAGGACGATATTTTGTGAAACTAACTCCAAGAGGAATCACGCGTACATTGAGGAGCAAAGCTATTTTGTTTCAATATTTCCAAATTGGCGCGTTACACGAGGTATAATATTAAATATTAAGTTTTATAGTTTCACTGTACGAAATCAAGTGGCGAATGAGAGTCAAAGAGTTTCTCGAGCGCAAAGGGTTAATTGTTGATTGACCGTGTTATAGGAGGGCAATGTTTCGATGGTAGAAGTTTGATCGCAGTGAGGGTTATTTGTGAAACAGGAGAATAATATGACAAGGTAAAGTGTATTAACTCTTCGTGAATGTTAGTGAATAAGAATTTATAATTTTATTTTCAACGATTCGCATATGCTTACGCGGAGAATAAATTTGGAGGGGCAAGACATGTTATTTAGCTTCACGCTGCAAAGTATGTGTATTCGAGTGACTGTTAATTTAAATTTTTGTGTTCGGAACTGTGATAAATTGAGTTTTTATTGAACTTAGTATGAAAGTATTTTTTCCTGAAGAATATTCGTATTTATTCTCACTGTTCAAAAATCGTTGCAAGGAAATGAAGTAATTGCACCTCTATTAACAGGACAACAGATATAGACATTTTTATTATCAGTATTCCTATATCTACGATACAATATGTACGCAATGTCCTTCGAAGAAAATATACCTGTCTGTAGATAAATATGGACCGTTATTCATTGAAGAAAACGTAAGCTGCTGTTCTTATAAAATACTCTAGCTTGGAAGTGTTTCTTCTCACTAACTTGCAAGGTTATCTGTTGGGAATGCTCGTGGAAATTGGTGTTACTTGCTACACCTCATACGTACAGCACACAGGAGATCTACAAACGTTATCTCCTTGTAAGACAACAATTAACAGTAAGTACGAGAATAATTAACCCTTTGAGCGCTGAATCGACGATCGCTATGGACGGAATAGTTTTTCGCTAGACTGAACTCTGTTGATTAACTATTCAAATAGTAACAAGTTATAGTAATAGTAGATTGTATATTCATTTGTATATTACATTTGTATTCATCTCACACAAAGTAACTGTATTACTTCTATGTAGGTGATCGAAAAAATTGACGAACGCATTTATGCATCGTTAGTCCACGCCGATAGCTTTCGCCAGACGCATATATGCGTCCATAGCGCTCAAAGGGTTAGAGCGTTAGTTACACTCACCATGTAGTAACTGTCCGAAGCAGATTCAAGTACATAACCGACGTCTTTACCACCTAAAACAGATGGTCTCCCATGTACAATGGAACCGTTCCCTGCAGCAACGAATTACTTACAGCACTGAACGTGGTAAAAGACAACTGGATTATTTTTCCAGCCGTCAGCTTGGGCGGGTAAAGGGACACAGCGTTCAACAGGATCAGATTGTAGGCCTTCTTCGCTGGTAAATTGTACCAGTACACATTGTAAGATGCTGGGCCCACTCTACTGCACTGGTGAAACGCATTAACGAAGTGAAGGATTATAAGAATCAAGAACACTATGATCTATGCAGTTAATTGCACTTGGAGAAAAATAGAGGATACTTCGGAATTGAATTTGATACACAAGTAATTAATTTATATCATGTAATAATTTATATCTACAAGTCTAGTGTAGATTCAAAGTTCTAGCAATGATATTTCTTGATAATTAACACGTTGAATGCCATGGGGATGACCAAATCGAATTATTATAGCTCACTCAATTAAAACATTATTTGAGAAAATTTCTATATTATAAATAATACTAACTAATGTGGTGACATTCAACTAGATAAACCTGCAGTAATAACAATGTAATTCAATCAAATGATTTAATATTATATTTCTTCCATTTCAAGTATTTTGTACCATGACATCGGCATTCAACGTGTTAATGTAAGATAAGTGATAAATCTTTGAATCTTTTTCCAGGATGTGACGTTATAAACATATTCTGCTGGACTACTAAGTATTGGCAATATTAGACATGTATGTCGTACGATTATTTAATTTTTTCACATAAATACCAACGAAACAGCTGTAAATTATTATTTATACGTACCTGTTCAGATAGAATTTCACCTACGTAACAGTATATTAATACGTTGAAGGTGAAGGACGTCAGCAGCATGAAATACGTGAGTATCGCGACGGCGTCGCTCTTCTGCCATTCCTACAAGCAATCAGTCCTGTTATCTGCTGTACCAATTATCTCCCAATCGACAGCCCTTTACCGTCAAGCAATAGTATTCGAGGAGACAAATAATCAAAGTTGACTCCACGATTTCTATTAAGCACACTTCGCGTAACGCCTTTTCCACGTCTTTCGAGAACCTAAAATGTTCATTTGAAACTGTTTAACATTAATTAACAGCAACTCCATGTCCCGGCGGTACGTACTTTAAGGGTGGACTTTACAAGTTAAAATAATACAAGAATCGAGAATTCAAAATTCGAAATTTCATACTTCTGTCGACTTCAACAATATAATACCATCTCTACTCCTATTCCAGAGTTCTCGAGAAAATTACAGTTATGAACATTACTAACAACTAATTAATGCTATCGCCAATTACATTACTATATCCAACTAATCCAAATTTTACAAAACTCTCACCATAATCAAATGCCTTTGCAAACAAAACTTCTCCAACTTAAATTTACAAGACCCAGCTAGAGTTCCGCGACAGCGACGGTAAACCTTCACCCCAGCCAACCCAGATTCCAGAATACCGGGACCATGCTCACCTCAGTATCTCCACGTGGTTGCTCACAATGGTAGCCATCTGCTGGTGGAAAGCGCCCTTGTCCTGACCCTCGTCGATCAAGTTCTGCAGCCTTGCGATTTGTATCTGAATCTGTCCGCAGATGTGGGTGACGAAGGTGGCGGCCAGACTGTACGCTGCGGTGGTGATGGTCTGCATGACCATCGCCGCGGCGCAGTGAAAAAAGAACACGATCTCGTAGGTGGGGCTGGACTGTGCGTCGAGGAAGTTGAAGCAGGGATAGGTGAGAGGCCTGACGGTGACGTTCCTTTGTCGCGTCTCCTTCGACAGGAACTGCATCACCGTGTGATAGGACATGCCACCGGTGTACAGGAAAACCACGCATATGGTGATCAGGTGTCTGCTGATGGCGGCTTGCTTCAGCATGATGGTCCGGTGGTCCTGCCGCTCCACCATCCTCCAATCCCTCTCCACGTGCTGGACGCAGCGACCCAGGATTTCGCCTTTCGCGCTCAGGTAGCCGTACTTGATCATCGAGAACACGCAGAAGCTGACCGGCCCCAGCAGCTTCACTTTGGTGTCTATGTCCTGCTCCCCGAAGAAGATGTTGTTCGCCGAGGGCAGCATGATGAACAACAGACAGGAGACGCAGGACAGCAGCAGCAGCACGGACAGCGCCTTTTGCGGTCCGCTGGAGCGACGGTAGATCAGGGTCCACACGCCGAGCGGCTTCAACAGCCACCGACACATCTCCAGCGTGTAGTTGACGTCGTCCTCGTGGTCGCGGTTGCGGATGCAGCTCTTCGACGGAGTCCGTGATCGATCGTGCATGGTAACCACGCCGGTGCACGTCGCCGACTGGACGGGATACGGTTGGAAGCCGGCGGGCAGCATTGCCAGGACGCAAGCGCGAATTCGATGCACCTTGCGTCGTGTCCGGTACGCGTTGGTGGAATTATGTAGGGACTTTTTTCGACGAATCGAAAGGCAATCTTCTTGGGCATCGAAAGGGGGAAACCAGCTGAGAGGGTAATGCGTGGAGTTTCATTCGTTTGGGAGACTCGTCGAGTGAGCAGTTGCAGAGGAATAGGTACATAGTATGTATTAACACTTTGCCGTCCGCACGTCTCGTAAAAATTTTTTGGCGTCGGCAGCACTAATTCGGATTACTTCGCTTGTCGTCGACGAAAACTTGTTGACGTGTGTAACTTGTTGTTACCTAACAAAACTCCAACAGAATGCAAACGATACTAAAGTGCTGTCGCCGGAGGGCATAGTGTTAACACGTTGAGCGCCGGTCCCGCAATAGTGCGGATTTCTGGATTTCCGTTAAATTGTATATGACGAAATTAAAATGTACTATTTAACGAAAGTGTATAATGTTTTGAGTATCTATTTGGCTACTCATTGATCAGATACAAGCGAACGAGGCCGGCGTTTGAGCTTTAAATGTCTCGTAGGTCGCCGGCGCTCGATGTGTTAAGTGATGGTTTATAGTTGCAGTGGTTCTGGATATAGTGAACGGAGCAAGGAATAGAAATCTGTGATCGTTCGTAAATGGGTGAAGATTGTTAGCTGTTCTGTGGAATCCGTGAGCTGTTAATTCGAAGAATTTTTGTAATGTATAAGTTCGAAAGACAGGTTGAAAATAAAATTTAGAGTGTTAAATAGAAAGTTCCATTTTCTGACTCTGATTCTACGAGCCACGTAGAATATTGTATTGCTATATTTCAACTTCACTGATGCATTTCAAGTGACAAGGAAAATGCAGAGCCAAGTTATTTGAGTATGTTTTTTTTTCTTAACTCATTGATACTACTTTCACGTTGTCATTCGTGAGGATACAAACCTATGCAGCTGTACACATATTTACTTCAATGACTTTAGGTTTGTTAACTTATTTTGCATAGGATTGATGAATTAAGCTATCTTTATAGCTTAATACACCGTTGCCTTTTATTCTACAGGTTTAGAGGCTGGAGATCGAGGACGCAAGTAGATGACTGCAGTAATAGACGGACACGCCTACTGAAACCACGCAGGCGCAGCCAAACCCCTCGGATTGCCTTGTTGATCATTGGCTCTAGCGACATATGTCACCTTTGCACGAATGTGACACTAAGAACGTGATTCTTCATTAGGTAAACTAATTAACATGTTCCCTTGTGAATCGCCACTGCGATAATTGGTTCTTCCGATTCAAAAAAATCGCTAGACTGTTAAGTATTCGAAATCGAAAAACCGATTAACAGGTTCACGGTAGGTAAAGTGTTAAGAAGTATTTTTTCACCCTTATTTTTTATTATATTGTATACACGTATAAAATTCCTTTCCTTCTAAATCACGGCAAAATGAGACAAGTATAATGAAGTATAGATAACGCATTGACACGTCCCAGCGTTTCTATGGAAACTTCTCTATTCGTTTGATCTACAAACGGCTATCTAAGCCGAAGCTTTCTCGTTACACCACGGTTCGAAGCAGGCTTAAATATCCCAGTGACGTTTTGAGAATCTGCAAAGACTCGCGTCAGTCACAGACTTTGTACAACGTAATTCAGTCCGCGAAGCGTTACTCACGTTTGCAAAAGTAGACAAGTCTAAGACAGCTATCTTGCCGGCGGAGATTTTCGCTGGATTACTTGACCTGACGATTATCAGGATTAAGCCGCGAATCGTTTCATTGGGAAACTTGTACCAATCGATCATGAAACACGATATTCCAACTTTACCAGTCTGTGGAACGCAGAAGATTGTAATTATTTTATACACGATTCAACCAAATGTTTTTTGAACTTTCGAGTACCACGTTAATTTCAATATTTTCTATTTGGAAGAAGTGTGCAATGTGCGACATGAAATGTTACAAATGCCTATACTTGAAGAATATATAATTAAATTCACCTAAAGAATATAAGTACAAAAATTATGTTGCACCAAATAGTGTTAATTATAATATGCGTGTATCATTCAAACAAAAGTGTAGTGGTACGTACCTTTTCTACCAGAAGATCGCCAATGTAGCACAATATGAATATATTGAACATCAAAGACGTCAGTAGCGCGAAATACGTAACGAAGCTCAACATGTTAGTACCCCAATCCTATTGCAGACGTTATCAAGCCGTGAGAAAATATAAAGAAAGCTTGGATAGACTAGATAAATTGTAAACGAATGTATTAGTATCTAAAAATATGCCTCGAAAAATAACCTTCAACATCTTTCTAAATAATTACTATTATTAATTCTTTTCTATATTCTACGTATTCTACAGTTTTCATTTCATTTTTCAGAGGAAAACATCGTTCGAGGCACATAATCAAAGACTTGTAAGAAGGAAGAAGGACTGGCTCTACCATTATAATATAATATTCGATGAGACATATGTTAAAAGTGGAACCAAGGAATTCCAAGAAGCATACTTCCTGCAGCAGTGCCTCTGTCATTGCAGAAAGTCTGGAACAAGTATCGTGATACACATATTTTCATTTCCGATCAGTCCGGGACTGCAGTTTATTCAATGGCACAGGGCAGTGAACGTTGACAAAACTCGATAATCGACAATTAACCACTTGCGTGTAAAGAAATTCACGGTTGCGCGTGCCATAACAGTCAACTGTAACTCGCTGCGAGCGAGTGTTCTATAAAACAATATAAAGACGCATCAACAGGTGATAAAATTACACATGTATAAATACTAAATTTGTTTATTAATAATCTGGCATATTACGATATTTTTTAAAACAATTTGAAAACACATTTCTATCACAATTGCCTGTCGACGTGTACAACGTCGCTGACGTTCCTGTAACAGAAGCATCTCGACGTGCGTGGCACGTCTTCCCACCGCGAGTGGTTAATTCAGATGCTAATTTAGAACTATGACAAACGTTGTACCAATCGCCGTGCTCGGCTCGTGAACGTTTCCGAAAAATCAACCGCTTCGTAACAATACATCTTCCACGCTGATTAACGAGGCCAACATTCCTCCCGAGCGCCTTCTTTCTAGCAACACATACCTTAACGTTCGTGTATGATGCTTGACGATCTGTATCATTCCGCGATCGAGGTCCGCCTTGCTCTCGAAATCGACGAGGTTCTTCAACTTGAGCATGATCACCTCAACCTGGCCGCAGACGTGTGTGGCGAACGTCGCGGCCAATCCGCAGGTGGCCACAGTCGCGGAATGTGTCACGTATCCGCACATACAGTGCGCGACGTACACCATTTCGTAGACAGGACTCTCCTGCGGATTATACATGCCACTGTACACCGGATAAATCAGCGGTTTCACGGTGCGATTCCATTCGTCGAGCTGTGTACCGCCAGCGAATTGTAGCACGGTGTGAAACATGAAACCGCCCGTGTACATGAACCCCATGCAAAGCATGGTCAGGCTTCGACCGACGTTCCCGTACTTCAGCATGAACTCGCGGTCCTCGTGGTGTTTTACCTGCAGTATCGTTCCTAATTGTTTAGTTTCTCATATATCCGCGGAACATATTTCAAGGCTCGACGCTGCTGTCGTTCATTATAACTCAATAACAACACAAGTCAGAACATTGAACTAGCAATACAAAATATAAAAATGTTGTATTACGAGACAAACGACTTATAGGTCGATCTTGTAGTTGAACATATTCAACTTCATTGTCGCTTTCACTTAAATCGTCAATGCGTAGTAATGAATCACGTGACTGACCTCTTTCCAATCGTTCTCCAAGCTTACAATGCAATGCTTCAGCCTCGGCTTGCACGCTGTGAGCGCCCAGTACTTCAACACCGACACCGTGCTGTAGCTTAACAGTCCGAGAAGCTTCATCTTTATCTCGATGTTCTGCTCCTCGAGCGTGATGTAGAAAATGAACGGTACCACCGTGAAAAGTAGCGTCAGGTTGCAGAGTCCGATCACTAGTTTAGGTAGTATCCCGTTGTCATCCTCCAAGAAGGTCGGCCAGATGCCGATGGATCTCAGGATCCACCTGGGGTGCTTCAAAATGTGGACGATGTCTTTCTTGTAGTTGGGGTTGCGCGGCCTGTCCGCGCTCTGCTCTCGAACGACGGGAGTGCGCATCGTGTTCACGTGCGGGAAACTTGGAAGCGACTGTTCGCCGAGAGGTACCAGGGGGAATTGATTGTGCAGAGTCACTGAGCTTGCGCCGATGCATGTCGCGTGCGTCCCTTTTTTAATTGCAGCTTTCAATTGATCGACGGCGCATTGAAAAAGCGGCATGAAATTGCACAAATGATTGGCCGTCTGTGGTATAGCCGGTTGGTATTCTCGGCCGGTGTGCGGCTGGAGAAAGGGGTTGATTATAGAGGCATAGGGTTGTTGCGTCCTTTTTGTGATTGCAGCTTTCAATTGATCGACGCCGTATTGAAAAAAACGGAATCGTGATGTTGCACGAATGATTGGTTTTCCATAGAGTCGTCGGTTAGTATTAGGGGTATAATTGTATAGAGGGGGAAGCGAAAATGTGTAGACGCTGTCATTCTTCTGGAGAACCTGTGCAGGGATAGTCGTAAAAGGAAGTGCATTAGATGGTGGTTCATGGTTAATGTTTGTTCGTGGTTCTGGATATGTACAGTGAGTCGTGAGGGTAACTGAAATTTGACAACACGATGTTAAGGACCATTTTTCTGTAAGATTAATTAACACATTCCGTGCCACTGGAAATTTCGGTTATATCTTGGTTATAAAGTGCACTGGTTTCTTCAATGATAGACTAAGTTACGTTCAAGCTTCTGTTGACTTTTAGTATATTTTAATATTATTTCTTTACGTTTTCACGTTTTACAGAAATTGCCCATAAATGGCACACGTGACACGG